GAGACAGAAGGATCTGTCCACTGTAGCATGTAAGGAGACTACTTTCAAAACTGGAAATTGAGGAATCATTACCTGGATCGGAATAATTTACAGCATTACCACCATGTGCTATTCCTCCATCTAATCTAATAGTCGGAGAATATCGTTTAGTTCTGTTTTTTATTGGGATTTCCTGTTCAACACTTTCCTTCAGGATATTTTCAAGAAGTCTCTTTCGTTCAACCATATCACTTTTATTCTCAATGGATGTATTATTCCTAAACTTTTCATGTCTTGTTTTACTATCAGCTAAATCATCCCCCTTTAAAAGTGATTCTCTTATTTGGTTAGGGTCTTGATCATCATCAATGACCTCTTTTCCAACATTATAACTACCTTCTTCAACTTCTGTCTCTACTGCAGCCTGATTATATTTTACATAAACTGTACCTTGACCTTCTGCCATATGACCTACAGGTTGAGTTGGTTGCATCAATCCACAATTTCTCAGGTTTTTTTCTCCTTTTACGACAAGGATTCTGGAACCATCATACCTTAAACAAAAAAATAAGATCAGAAAACTAGAATATTATTACTAATTATTGATTTATTTATTATCTGAATGTTGTTAATGTTCTTGTAACCAAAAAAAAATCTTAGAATCTTTGAAAAAAAGATGATGGTATTTCTTCAAATAACTGTTGAGTTAGACTTATGAAACCAAGAACTTTAACCCCTTCATGAGAGCAGTTTAGTTATACTGAAAAGAATATTCTGTCTGAGTGAAACAATAAACATTAATATAAAAGTTCCCTTCATCATAAGGAGTGAATGTATGGTTTGTATTCTATACTATGGTTTTGTGACTATTGATATACATATATTTTCTTCTCTATGTTCCTCTTTGTGCCACATCTAGCGTGGAGAGCAGCTTCAAACCAACACTGTCAAGCTTCAAGGTCCCTGCAGAGTTGCTTCATTTGTTGCAGTTTTTCCCCCAATCCTTTAGATGTACTCTAAATATAAAATTCTCTTTCCAGTAGGTCGAGCTTCCATTATCTTTCTGGGTTTCCAGTCCTTAATCATTTGACAAACATGCCTTTTAATGGTGAATTTTAGTGCAGGTATGTCCAGCTTCTCCCTAATTATTTAATTTCTTACGTAGTCTCTTCTGGTTTTCCCTGCGATCCAAGGTAAGTAACTCATTTCACCTCCCAAGATACTGCTTATCTGCATGTGAAGCATGGTCCAGCTTTCGCTTCTAAAGGTAAGAGTAGGAAAGTATACTGACTGATTTGTAAATATGAAGCTAGGTTTTGTGTCCCATATCTCGATCACCAACAATGCTGTGGCAAATACTATAATAGATTTGGTTGGTTTGAGCAATTCTATTAGCTATTTCCAAATCTGTTTTGCCTCATCAACTCATGTTAGTGCCGTAGTAGTTCAAAGTTCTCAACCCCTTCAAAAATCTCACTGTTACGGTCCACCTCCACTGTCTTCCCCTCCTCTCAGAAAAGGACCTGCATCTACTTTTAGAGGCATTGTTAGGGGCTTTATTAGGGAACAAATCCAGTTGAAGTATGACAAACATTCAATAAATACTCCTTAATCTAGGCATGAATCACTTAGGCTCCTTTCCTGGAGTGGACTGTTTTTTGTTAACACTCCTTTTTACAGTTGCCTGTTTTTTCCTGCAAGAACATTTGTTTGAAGGGTTCATATTATCTCATTACACCCAATTTTCACTATTCATTAATTTCAATATGGACCTACTAGAGATATATTATGTAAAATTAAATGATCAGAGGAAGGAGGTATTTAATTAGGAGCTTTTGCAATAGGAGGTATTTAATTTTCATCACTTATCTTGTTCTTTCCACTACACAGCTTAATAATGCTCCTAAACAGTTTCTGGTAAGGTACCTAAAAATAGGCCAACACATATATCTTTCATTAATAAATTTAAATTTTATAATATTAAGCAAGATTTAAATATTTTGATCTCACATCCATATAATAGTCTTTCTTCATGAAGAGATTATGTAACAAATAAAAAAAAAAAAGAACAAAGTTAATGAAGTAATAACCTTACCTTGAACACACAGACACAGTGACCGTTGAATTGGTTGGAAGAAAAAATCCCCAGTACTCAAGAGTATCATCAGGAAGGGACATGCTTTTTTTCAATCGGATATGCTTCTTTTTGGAAGAAGCCATCTTAGGCTTTCCTTGCACTTGAAAAGCATTAAATGGTGTGTTCATTTTCAAAGAATGTTCCTAAAGAAAATATTCTTAGATTAATAGCATATTCAGAAAATCAAACCATTTAGGTCCAATTTCTAATCCAAAGAAGACAATATAATAAGTGTATGTGAGCATGACCAAAATTTCTTCAAAATACAATGTTACCGCTCATCCTGTATTTCCCAGGATAATTCTATTTTTCAACGATCAGTCATGATGAGGAATCTTAACCATGGACATGAACTATCCAAGATTTACTAAACACTTTAATGGTAATAAAAACCTTCCAGTTTAATAATAAATATAGTTGGAAAAGAAAATTTGAGAAAAAGTGATAATCCTGAAGAGCTACTGTATTAATTACTAATTTAACAATTTATCACTCTCTCTCCCTCCCACCCTCTCCCTAATTTTTGACCGGATGTGGAGCAACCAAAAGCTGCTTAATTGGATTCAAATTAATTGAAAACAAAATTTGAAAATGTGATGGCAACAGTGAACAAACTTACAGCCATATTTTATACGACTCGACTAGCCTAGACAAATACAGATACAAACTGGTCTCTACTGTCATATTGAATTAAGACCAATGGCCACCTTCAAAGAAGGATCTGATTGAATTCTCTGAACCTTATAATAAGACAACTGTTGTTTAATCGGTTTACTTAAACCAACTGTTATACTAAATTGTATCATACTAAATATTAAATATTGTACGTACATTGTTTCTCATTCTTAGTTTCTTTCCTATATCTTTATTTAATTGTTTATTCTGTTATACTATATTTCTATAGTAAATATTCTACTTATTGTTATTTAATTCCTAATTTCGGTAGAAATATATGCAAACATTACAAGGTTACTGTAATATGGAAAAATAAAAATAAAATTTGTACGGCTAGATATCTTCAAGGACTTGACCTTGTCACACCGAAAACATTTGAAAATAAGTTTCATATTTCAGAGAATATTAAGAAATTTAACATTATATCAGGAAAACCTCTGTTATTCCCTAAAAAAAAAACTCTATAAGTCCCTATTATTATTTGTGCCCTGAAATCAAAACATTTCACTTTTGATAAGGAGCAATTTAAAATTGAGTAGTCATGTCAATATTTTTAAGTTCTATTGCAAGATCCTGAGCTCTTATCTATGCTAAATATAAAATTTATATTAACCTTATAATAACAAGATTAAATATTTGTCATAAGGAAAGATGAATAGTTAATTCTTTTCAATAAGAAATAATGATAAACAAACCCTCTTTCATTTTACTTAAGCAATGAGTAATGAGACTCCTCCCTTTTTCAAAGCAATATTATGCAATGCGATAGCTAATACATGCAATTTAAAAATAACAAAACAGGTTCATGACAGATCTGTAAAAAGAATTTTTACCTGGCAAAAAATCGAAGAAATACCGTTGACCATCTCCAAAATATCAGATTCCGCAACTGAGTAAGTAACATCAGCATAGCGATTATGCCTTAAGTACAAAGGTGTCAATAATAAAATCACTGGTAAAACTGTTATAAGAATACAAAAAGTAATCACTCTACGAGCTCCTTGCATTCTCTTGACGCCTATAAAACAAATTTACTTATGAAATGTGAAACAAGTTTAAAAAAATAAGATTATAAGTAGTAATTATTATCAATAAAAAATAAAGTAATACCTTTCACTAATTAGTTAAAAATATATCACACTATGAAAACTTGAGATCAGATAAGGTTAAAATACAACTCTGTAGAAAATAAGGTACTAGTACCCCATTAAACAAACTTTCTAAGCACACACGAATTTCTGAATGTTTCATTTGAAAAATAAAAAAACTTGTACTATCAAACAAAAAATAAATAAGTAATTATGTACTTAAACACCACTTGAGAAATACATAAATAAGACTACTGTACTGCTACCTAGTGTCAGTACTTAGAATCTGCTTGACATTGGAATCAACAGAGGGGGGACACTTGTTAATTTTTTATATTTTAAATAATTATTGAAAGCATTAATAATTAATTATAAAGACAACAATGTCTTTGATAAATCAGTTATACATAAGATGTCAACTAACAAGTTCTAAGACACTAATTCATTCATTCCCCTTTATTATTCCAAATAATTCATATTTAGTTACTATAAAATACTTTAAGAAAGTTTCTAACAATTTTCAAAAATAATTATTGTCAACTACATAATTTACAAAGTTATTTAACTGAACTATATTCTATCACTCTCCATTAAGATATTATTAAAATAAAATTTAATTTCTAACTTATTAATTAATAAAGGAAATATTCACAGTAATACACTTGGCAATACTTACTTTGTAGTTGATCCCATGAACTATGATTGTATGAACGATAATAGGTAATATTTCTGGCATTTTCTTCTTCCATGTTCACAATATTTTTAAAATAGCATTAATGAAAAACTAAATCTTGAAGTTATGAACTAAAATCTGTCAGTTAAATTAAATAATAAAAGAGTCTAAGATTCCAGTACCTTCATAGAAATTAGAATTGCTTCAATACTAAATGCTTCAAACTATTACTTGTGAAGATTTATCTAACTTGTTTATACTGTCTGGTAAATAAATGATAATGGTAAGATAAGGAACAGGGAGAAAACATTTAATTAGGTTTCTTTATTAATCCAAACAGAAAGATAATTGGGCGTCCAATCATAAAAAAAAAAATTGAAGTAATATATTTGTTATCAATCTATTCACAAGTATGTATTTTTTATTATGTAAAATTAAAACCTTGTAATTAGGAAATGTCTATTGCAGCTGATGCAAGGTAGTAACCTTGACCATTGGAGGAATCATGCATCGTTGATAATTCAATGGAAGTAATATTTTCTTCTCCAAAGTAATAATCTTGAAAGTTCTGAAAAATATAATTATATTAAAGATAAACTAGTTTAAGAATGTTAGATAGAATATATTGAGGAAATAGTATAATAACACTTGAATAGTTCATTTTAATATTAATCAGTAAATAATTTTTATCTAATTTAAAACTAACTGTTGCAGCATAACTCATACCACAATTTCCATAACTCTATCACCTTAATTATATTTGAAGCATCAAATGTTTCAGATTTTTTCTTTTCTCTATTATTTCCTCTCATTACAGGCCTTATTTCTTCTTCTTCTTCAGTATCTTTTTTCACTCCAAATTTTGTATTCATGAGGGTCACATGGAGTTTAACAGGTTCGTTTTTATCTGATAAGCCTGTAAAATATAATTTCACAAAGCGGATAAGATATTCTCAGTAATAAATGGTTATTGTCTTTCTTAATTTAAATTTTATGTTTACCAAAAATAATACATCTCACAACCTTATTTATTGGTTACAGTTAACTAGTAATAAACATTTGTTTGTTTATGATAAACCTAATTCTTCTGATGACATAACAATGGCAATAATCTGCTGATAATGTATCAGTCAGTGCAGCAACATAAAATACAGACAAAAGGAAATCAGTTATATTAAATTGTCTGGCTCTCCACTAACAGTGGGAATCTTTGAGGAAAAAAATTCAATTAAGCTTTATTCAAATCATTTAACTAAACGGGAAGTAAATACATGAAAGCTTTATACACGGTGGGTCAGACCCCCCTACCGTGCATCCCCCCCCCTCTCCCACATCCCTATAAATTGCATAGCATTGTGTTTCTTCTAACTATTTATTAAAAAAAACCAATGTTTCCACAAAAAAAAAGTGAACGCACTGCCAAAAATGGCGGACTGACAACTTTGACTTTAGTTAGTTTTTTGGTCACTGAGGATCAGCATTAGGCTTAATTTCATCATAGTTGGTCTTTTATTAAAGCTGGATAGTCAGAGAATAATAAAACATGAAAAAATGTTAAAAAATAATTGCCTTAGGCAATAAAAAACACCAGTAAAGTCTATTTTTTTAACAAAAAAATTTACAAGTTGAAAACCAAGCGTCGTTTGTAATTAAACAGGCAACAATAACGCAAAATGTGCTGAAATAAAACAACTAGAGAATATATTTCTCTTCCTAAAACACTGATTACTTTTTAAAATATTTGAAGCGATTCCGTAGAAAATGCACTTAAGGAGCAGAAAAGCGCTGCTGACATAGGTGCCTACAGGCCTCTACCACACCATTCATTACTCATAAATGGCTTAGTTATAGTGCTATAATTGATTGTATTGACAAATAAATATTAATGCAATAATTTAATTAGCCAAAAAAATTTTAAATTTATTATAATTTTTTTTAAAATTTAATTTCCTTTATTCTATAGGAAGGTCATTTAATAAGGTCTCTATTGTAAAAATGATATAATTATAATAATAAAACTTAATTCAAAAATACTTTGCTGAGTATCATTATTTAACGTTTGCAATACAACACTTTGATTTCTATATTTATTGATTCTTAGAGGTAATTTAAATTGTATATACTCCCCCGGAAATAAGTCATATTAATACCGGTTTTATAAACTATAATTATATATACCTAATCTAAACTACATATAATGAATAGTTGATGGGTTGTTTAGTCAAACTCATATATCACTAATAAAAAAATTAATTTTTATTTCCTTTATTTTGTTCGAAAGTTGGATCATATAAAAAAAGTAGGAAATATTAATATTGAATGCATTATTCTCTCTGCACAAAGAAAGATGGAACCGGAACTGATTGTTAGTATTTGGTCTCAAAATGGGGAAAACCGCGAAAATGGAACCCAAAAATTAGAAAAATACACTAAGCGAATGAGAAAGGAAGTACCCAAATCTGGGAAAATAAAACAATGATCATTCAAGACTATCTTCACATTCAAGCAGATTATGGAGAGGTCTATCGAGAAAGGGGAATAGCTCATTGTACTGAAATAATGATCATTGTTTTATTTTCCCAGATTTGGGTACTTCCTATCTCATTCGCTTAATGTATTTTTCTAATTTTTGGGTTCCATTTTTGTGTTTTCCCCCATTTTGAGACCAAATACTAACAATCAGTTCCGGTTCTATCTTTCTTTGTGCAGAGAGAATAGTGCATTCAATGTTAATATTTCCTACTTTTTTTATATGATCCAACTTTCGAACAAAATAAAGGAAATAAAAATTAATTTTTTTATAGTGATATATTTATTAGTGATAGTTTGACTAAACAACCCATCAACTATTCATTATATGTAGTTTAGATTAGGTATATATAATTATAGTTTATAAAACCGGTATTAATATGACTTATTTCCGGGGGAGTATATACAATTTAAATTACCTCTAAGAATCTATAAATATAGAAATCAAAGTGTCGTATTGCAAATGTTAAATAATGATATTCAGCAAAGTATTTTTGAATTAAGTTTTATTATAATAATTATATCATTTTTACAATAGAGACCTTATTAAATGACCTTCCTATAGAATAAAGGAAATTAAATTTAAAAAAAAAATTATAATAAATTTAAATTTTTTTTTGGACAATTAAATTATTGCATTAATATTTATTTGTCAATACAATCAATTATAGCACTATAACTAAGCCATTTACGAGTACTGAATGGTGTGGTAGAGGCCTGTAGGCACCTATGTCAGCAGGGCTTTTCTGCCCCTTAAGTGCATTTTCTACGGAATCGCTTCAAACATTTTAAAAAGTAATCAGTGTTTTAGAAAGAGAAATATATTCTCCAGAGGTTTTATTTCAGCACGTTTTGCGTTATTGTTGCCCGTGTAATTACAAACGAAACTTGGTTTTTAACTTGAAAATTGTTTTGTTAAAAAACAGACTTTACTGGTGTTTTTTATTGCCTAAGGCAATTATTTTTTAACATTTTTTCATGTTTTATTATTCTCTGACTATCCAGCTTTAGTAAAAGACCAACTATGACGAAATTAAGCCTAATGCTGATTCTCAGTGACCAAAAAACTAACTAAAGTCAAAGTTGTCAGTCCGCCATGTTTGGATGCAATTTCGGGGCAGTGTGTTCACTTTTTTTGTGAGAATATTGGATTTTTTAAAATAAATAGTTACAAGGAACACAATATGCAATTTATAGGGTGTACACGGTAGGGGGTCTGGCCCACGGACTATTATATATATTTTTTATCTTTCTTCTCTTCTTATATCAAATTGTTGACTGTAAAATTTATTTAAGTTATTCTTCATATCATTAGCACAGACTTATGAGGAAAGATAGGGAAAAGGGAGAGGGGAGTTGATGAAGGATTCCTCACAATCTTTCGAAGAACAAAAATAAAATAAAAATTAATTTACGGGAATAAATAAAATAAGTAAGCTAAAATCAATTAAGAAAATAGCAAAACTCAACTAGATGGCTAAGCTAAGGTCTAGAAGTAGGTACGCAAATATTATACCATGTCTTATGTTCCTATTAATGAAATTGTAGTTTACATTCAAAGATAATTATATGCAGCAACATATCCTAGTTATTCTATGATTCCTTCAGATACACCACTCCATTTTTAAATGGAGATTCTATCACATTTTCCACAGCAAATTTAAAGCAATGGAGAATTCAGTTCATTCTCAACCCTTTAAATAAAAATATGTACTATATTCAATTTCTTTGTTAAATATAATTTATGTGTATAATTTTACTTTTAATATAAAATAAATGGGTATAATTTTCAAATATTCCGATATGCAAAAAAAAAAAATTAATTTTATATATACATACAGTTATATATTGTTCGTTTTATAATAATTATGTTAATTATCACTCATGATTTTTATACATAATATAAACTCCCTAGTTTATTTTTTTTTTAGAGGAAAAAACCATCGCATCCCTTCCCTCTCCTCCAAACAGAATGGAAAGTGCCTATGCTTTTCATATTTATTTCTTTTTCATATTTTTAAACAGTCTTTCAGTTCGCTCTAATTATCATGAAAACACTTTTTAAAATCTGTTGTTCTTCCTTTTTTGGATATCTGTAGATGCAGTAGATCTCCATCACTGTTCAAGATTTTTCTTGTAATTGGTTTAAAAGAATGAAGGGAAAAATTTAAACAATTTGAAAGAAGAGGAATTCCTCTATATATTATTGTTTGTGTATGAACAAGTTACTGCCCAGTATACAGAAGATGCTGGTTATGTCCTCAGAAGATTAAAAGAATATGAACAAAGGGGGTTTGTGATCAATGCTGAGAAGATGGAATTTATGTCATCCTGAACTATTAACATGGAACTTATATTGTGGATTGAGACAGATTTAAAGGACAGGTAATCTTACAGCAGTGCATTTTTAGTCCTACGACTAATGACAGACATGGATTTAAGAATAAGTGAACCCAGGAAACCACCAATCAACCCACAATCTTTATTTCCATAAATCATATCAAATTTCCACCAGCTTACTATACACTATTAATAATAATTTAAAATATGTATTTACTTGTTTTCAATCGGTATTATAAATTGCCATTATTCTATTAGCAAAAGTTCGAGAATAAAGTTTATTCTATTCTTTCCTTGATAGGTATGTTAGCATAACAACACAAACTCATTTAAATCAACTTAAAGTAGGAATATTAAAAGAATTGATTATTTGGAATGTAAATAGGAAAAGAATTCAATATACCTTTTTTATAGAAAAAGGAATTAATGCTGTCTACAAAGTCTTGAAGATCAATGTCATCATTCTTACAATTTACTTTTCCATATAAAATATCAACATCAGAAAACTCATCATTCATGATATCAATGCCACACATTACCAATCTTAGTTTCTTCCCAGAAAGTATTGGCCTAAAATAAAAAATAAAATAAATTTTAAACAATAAAATAAAAATAAATTTTTAAACAAAATAAGAATAAATATAAGAAATATCAATGCTTAAAGACAACATTGTATTCCACTGTTGTCATTGCTTCATAATTTGGAGAATATTATATTATTACAACATGATAATTTGAAACAATAAAATAAAAGATGAGCAACCACAAGAGCAATTAATCATTGATTAGATACATTATATGCGACATTAACAACTTTCAAATTTTTAATTTATGTTTTTCAAGAGGAAAAAAATGAAGATATTTTATAAAATAAATGATTTTTATATAAAAAAAAAAAGATTACATATCCAATTAAAACTAATAAGATATAAATAAAAAAAGTTAAATATCTTATGAAACTTCCTGGATAGCAAGAATGCATAATGCAGTTATAAATAAATAAATAATAAAAGGCATAGCAAACCCGGAGGTTCGATGCCGACACCAGCAATTGCTCACTACACACCTCCCTCCACCGTTCGCCTTCCAAACCCAGTCCCTTCAGATCGGTTTTAACACAATCTTCCCACCTTCCCTTCTGTCTACCTCTCGGACGTTTACCATTCGGCACAGCAAATATCAACTTTTTAGGAATTCTTTCGCTACTAAGCCCAACTATTTTACAAGCCCATTTGATTCTCCGTGGTGTTATCACCTCAATTATACTAACTGGATACAGTTCACGCAACTCGGTGTTGTGCAACCTTCTGAACTCTCCGGTTAACTCTTTAAATTCTGGGACAAGATGCGTGAGCTAAGTAGTTTTGTCACAGAAAAATAACAAGCATTTCCCGCCTTCAGGCTAATCTTAATCTCCTCTTCAATTTCGTTTTTTCTAGTTATCGTAGACCCTAGATACTTAAACTTCTCTACCTATTCAAACATGTTACCTTCTATATCAATATCACCAGAGATATTGCCATTTTTGCGTGTTTATTTCGAGTCCTAATTCTTTACTGGCTTTCATTAACGTTGACATATTTATTTTTATAGTTTCTGTGTCTTCGCTTAACAGGACCAGATCGTCCGCATAGCCAAGCACGGGTATTGTTCCACCCAGATCCAACCCTTTTTTGGTACGCATCACCTCCCTAATGGCATGTTCTAATGCCAAATTGAATAGGACAGGTGAAAGGGAATCATAGTTATAATGTAGTTACAAGTAGATAAGAAGAGAACATTTTTTTTTGTAGGCATAGGGTTGTGGATTCTTGGCCTAGGCCTATTTCAAAGCAAAAAAAAAAAAAAACATTTAAATGTTATTTTTAGCAAATTTAATACATCTTCTAAGCTAGTTTATTAGGTAATATTTCAAAGTAAAAAAAAAATATTAGACTATTTACTACCTAAATTGCTGTTACTAAGAACTTCAGTAAGAATTGATGTCAGTAAGAATATACAAATATTGTATTACATGATCAAGGAAGAGGCTGTTAGCAGAGGATGGAATTTTTTTCAGCAAAAACTGCTGAGGAGGAATTTGGGGTTCTTCATGTGTCATAGGACCATCAAAGAGAGAAAGGAAAAATCAATAAAATTTGAGTCGAAAAATCTTTTAAAGTGCAAACAATTAGAGAATTTTATAATTCTATAAAATAGAAGTTTCATAATTTTTCTCATCAAGTTATGGTGTTGAAGATTAAAAAAATGTAAGTCTTATGTGGTACTAATTCTAATTTCTTTGGCAATAAATTGTGGAAACTGTAAATACAAAAATAAATATTTTAGAAGGTATTTTAAAAAAATAAAAACTGGAACCTGAGAAATAATAAGGGGGAAATGGGAATGAGAGTAATGTAAACATTAGATACATCTGTAAGAGTATACAATTCATTGTCGTTTAGATTCATATGTGAACACTGAAAGGAGTGCTGGCTCACTGCATGTCAAAAGGACCAATCACTGGACTACTTGTCCTTTTCATATGAAGTGCTCTGAAATTCTTATCTGATTTTATATTTGGAATATGTTTATATAATTTTTTAAAAAAGTAATTTCTACTTATTATTGCAGTATCTTATTAATTTTTTTTTTTTTTTTATATTTCAAACATTTCTTCATTTATTTTTGTAAAAATAAAAATAAATATTATCACTTATTTTTGCCTTCTTTTTTGACTGAGCACCCCAACTATTCTTCTCTTCATTTCTTCATTTAGTTTCCCTTATTTTTACTACATGAGAATCTTATAGCTAATTCAAACTATCGCAATAAATACATATTTTAAGGTTTTTCAAGGTGCGTATTAATACTTGCCTTATAACCACCTCTTTACATTCTTCTAAAGCTTTGGCTGCTTCGCTCCTTTCAACTTTGTCAGACAACACTAATAAACCAATTGTTAAATGCAATCTCTCTGGATTTTGGAAAATGTTTTCACTTATACCTCGATCTTTACATTTTTCCAGAACTTCAGACTAAAGAAAAAAAAATAGATGTAAATAAAGTAGTAACAATTATTTTGTTGAATATCAGATTAGTAAATATAAATATATTACTTTAAAACTCATAAATCCACTTTGAATGCTTAATCCAGTCATGGGTATGGAAATGAAATGGGTATAAGCAAGACGCTTTCTAGAGGAAAGAACCATCAAACGAATCCTTCTCCTTGCAGATGCTACATCTTTTTTGGATGCTCCAGTAATCACTAAAACATTATTTTGTATTTCTAACCACTAATAACTTTTTATTATTAATAAATTATGATTTATTAAAATTTTTTTATAAATTATGTGTATATTTAGCTACTACAGTAGAACTTTTCAAGGGCATTCAATGTTCTTATACATGGTGTCTTCAAGAAATATATAAGCCCTTATACTTGAAAATTTTTAATTCTACTTCCAACGACGTTTCGAACTGATTAGCTCATTATCAAATCATCAAAAATTTATTACCATTTGTAGTGCACCAGAAATACAACCATATTCCTCATCTCCTTGTTTCGTATTTATTGATGTTTGTCACTACCTCCTCCCTCTATTGTTTAACCTTGATTTGAATTATTCTAAAATTAAAATTTGCTTAGAAATTAATTAATTTAAATAAAGGCCACCCCAGTCAGTTCTAAACGTCTTCTTAATTCTTATCCTAATATCTCTTAGTTTACTTTAATAGCCTAACAATCGAATCTCAAACCACTCTTAAAAATCTTAGTAATACTTTTGGTCCAATGCCCGTCTTGGAATAATCATACTTCTTGGTATACCCAAAAATTAATACTAGAATACCTAAATAGTTCTTAAGGATGAACTGATTCCATGCCTTCAAAGGCACACCAGCTAATATGAACATCCCTCATTTCCTCTCACTTAGATAATGATTGTCTGAGATAATCCAAACTGTCTGTTAAGCTTTTGATGAAAGTGAAAAACTAATGCATTGATTTATTAGATTAATCCTCAGGGTCAACCGGCACTTCCGTTTCTCATATCTTTGTGCAATACTTCCCAAACGTCTCTCGTTTCTGATCCTCTAGAAACAAATGACCGCCCTATATTTTTGATTTGCATACCCTGCAGCTCTCAATCAGTTGAATTCCATATCCCAACCTACCAATTTTTCTACATTACCAATTTAGTTCTTATTATTTAGCAATGTATTAATTATTTGTGCTACCTTTGAACACTACTTATCAATCTTACCGTCTTGATAGTCAATCCAACACACTCATATAACAATATGAATTTATTTTGTGTGATGAAGAGAAGGATGGTTGGGGTGATTAGTCCAAATAAAAATGGCAAAAATAAATAATAATATTTATTTATTGGCAAATGTTAAAATAAATAATATTATTTATTTTTGCCATTTTTATTGGACTGGTCACCAAAACTTCATTATTCACTACAGTCAACCATCAACCCACAATTATTTTGTATGAATTGTTGAGAGTGGATTAAGTCAAGATGGTTAGAAAAATTGAATATATTTTAACATAATTTTTACTGTTTTTTGCATTTTCTACTGTTTTATTAAAACCTGTATCAGTATAAACCATGAAGGGTCTTGGTATCAATAAATAGTAATAAGGTACTGTTTCTAATCAAATTGTAAGAGGTAAGTGGAGCCAGGTCATCACAGAGAGAGATATGGGAGACCAATGTGCTTTGTACACTCCCAACTGGGTATACAGCAATTAAAGAATATCGACCTGGAAACTGTTTAGCATACTCTTCAATTAGATATTCAATTAGATATTGTTCAAAGGGATTCAAAACAAAACCTGAAACTCCTTTGATATTAAAAACAAACCTGAGTATTACCCTCCCAATATTTAAATTTTCAAAATGACTGTGGACAATCAATGTAAGGTAGTTAAGATGATCATGGATACTTCACCATGAATTAAGAAAAATAATATATAAAAAGGTTTTTTAAATTTTTTATATTAGTCCGAGGTAAATCTGAATTTTAGGCTCTCATGGCTGCCGTAATCTGCATCCCTTTTTTTCCAATATTTTAAAAATAAATAAAATATACACACACACACATATATATATATATATATATATATATATATAAATATAAATTTGGGTTTTTTTTTTGTTAATGAAAAATCTTTTCTAATTTATCAAAGAAAAGATTTTTCATATATATATATATGAAAAATCTTTTCTAATTTGATGATAAATTAGAAAAGATTTTTCATTAACAAAAAAAAAAATTGTTAATGTGATTCTTCATCTAATAATAATAAAAAATTAAGTATAAAATAATTTTACATACTGATTACATTTTTTTGTTGAAAATGCCTTTAACTTAAATTCACCCGTAATGAAACATTCCAGTCAATCCCAGTGAATAATAAATCTCTGATTGAAACCCAAGGCAAACCAATAAATTGTATCTTTAACAACCCATGGAAAGTCTTGGGTTCAGTATATTGTAAGGAAGTATAGGAGAGATTTTTTGGACACATTTGTCCCTTGGGTGTATTCCAAGAAGGTCTCCTAACCCCAGGATCTATCTACAGATGATGTAGCAAAATAAATAATGATATGTCAAATCTGGACGAAGCGGCTTAATGAACTACCCTGCTCCCAAAGCACAAACAAATATATATAAAGAATAATTAAAACCACAATTAAAATAATTATGATATAAAAATTACCTATGTCACCACTATGTCCTATCTTAGGAATAAATATCTTAGTACGAGTTTCAGTCTCTAATCGCTTTTTGGTGGCTCCTTTCGAACCAATAATATATGCAAAATATGTCCTAAAAAAAATAAAAATAAAAAATATTGTGACAGTATAAAATAATAACATACTAACTATAGAAAATAATCTTACATTGCAATATGAAAACTGGTTTTGTATCTACCACCTTCAGCTTGTTCAATATCATCTTCTCCATCTGATAGTGTTTCTATATCAGGTAATTCTTCATCTGCAAATATATCTTATTTACTGAATCAATTATTAAAACATACAAATTAATTACTCATAAGATATCATAGAAAAATATTAGTGTTATCTTACATAGATTTTAGTATTGTTCCAAATACCTATTTCTAATTTGCGAAACAACACAAAATTGTGTGCTATAGATTTTTTGTCTACCTAACTGCATTAATTTGTTAACAGTGGAATATGTTTTGGAGGATATTTTAAATTAATTTCTATTTAGAATAATTTAAATTATCCAGATAAAAAAAATAATTAAAATTTAAAACATATTTTGAAAAATTAATAAAACAAACTATTTATCACTTGTATGATTGTCAAGTTTTCTTTTTTTCTTTTTTTTTTGTGTGTGTGTAAAGAGGGAGATGTTTATTTTCAATTTGATATTGTAACTTTAAATGTTCCTGAAATGCACCAATTTGACCCTAACGAGAAACCACCATTCATAATAAACTCCAGACCCATTCAAACTACATTGTTTCCAAGCTTTCTTCCTCTTTAATTCCTGCTAATCCTACGAGGCATGATAAAAGAAGATGGCTCAGTATCTTTTAATTTAGAACTGTTATTGCTATTCCACAAATGGGTATTTTCTCTACAAGCCTATTAAGACCATTATTCTTTTTCAATTCATATTTACTCGTTATAAAAATAATAATAATAAAAGGCTTAGTGAACCCTAAGGTTCGATGACAACACCACCGATTGCTGTCAACACACCTCCATCCACCGGTAGCCGTCCAAACCCAATGCCTTCAGTTCAGCCTTAATGCAATCTTTCCACCTTCGCTTTGGTTTACCCTTCGGACGTTTACAGCAAATATCAACTTTTTAAGAATTCTTTCGTTACTAAGTCCAACAATTTTACAAGCCCATTTAATTTGCTGCAATGTAATCACCTCAATTATATTCACCGGATACAGTTCACGAAATTCAGCATTGTGTAACAGCCTAAATTCTTCAGTTGACTCATCCTATTACGGTCCGAATATGCTGCGCAATAATTTATTTTCAAAACCTATAGACGTTGCTCATCCCTTGATATAAGGGCCACATTTCGCATCCATAAAGAACCTTAGGAAGGATAATGGTTTTATAGATTCTAATCATTAAGTTCTGGAACAGGAGGCTTGAGCTAAGTAATTTTGTCACAGATAAATAACAAGCATTTTCCATCTTCAGCCTAACCTTAATCTCCTCTCTAAGTTCATCAACCCATTACATTTTTAGTATTAGTAAAATTGTAGTTATAATATATATATCTAAAAGAAAATGTCATGATTTTATTTATACCAAGCATCAACATTTCAAGTGCAAATATTTCTTTTTTCATAATTTAATTGAAACCATTGAACATAGATAATTAATTAATTAATTAATATATTTATTAAAACTTCTTTTTTAATATTTTGAATAAATAAATTTATTTTTTAGCTATCTATGATGGGGAGATATGAAAAAATTTGATTGAGTCAAATACAATTAATCAAATTAAAATTTTGGGAATAATATTAAAAAAAGATAAATAATTATAGTTTTAGTGTGATAATGCAATTCATACAATTTTCATAGCATGGCTCTTCTAATTTTTCACCATAAGACACATAATTTCCTGGATTTACTCTATATCTAATTCCCTCTATAACAAAAACATCAGGTTTCAGAACATCCATTTATAACGATTCCTGACCTGAACTTTTTGACATTAAATTACTGTTATTAATTAGTAAGGTTATATAACTGTAACAATAACTGTATTTAATCTTAATAAAGAAGAAACCATATGTTACACTCATACCTCTTTGCCTTCAGGATTTGCTGAACCTAAACTTGGATTTAGACATTTCACTAACTATGAGACTAACAAATATATAAATGGTTAATTCGCTATGCTAGTATTTTTGTTTCTTGTTTTTGATATTTTGTGGTTTTGATATGTGGTGCTGTTGGTATCAAGAGAAGTAATATAAGTAGTTTGGTTTAGTAATAAAGTAGCTTTTAATTAATTTTGATAATAGTTTTTGCCATAGTTTGTGAAATTTCTAAACTCACCTTAAAATGGTCTGAATAATAATTAACTATCGCAATATATTGTTGAATACTTTCGATATTACATTTATTACAAGGAAAATCTGGAATTACTTACGGTGCCATAATGCCGGCTATAGTATGGGGCAAGCGAGGCAATTGCTCCTGGACGCTTGCCACTTGTTAGAAATTAAAAAAAATATATGAAACGTATTAAAATCATTAATTTTATTTATTATCATTATTAATTGATCAAAAAAGTAACTGTATTTGAGAAATTTTGATGACCATAATAAAATTCAAATATTACATATTATAAATCAGCTTAAGAAATAAATTTAATTTTTCAGGGGAGATGACGTCATTTCCCGGTGGCACCGAATGTCTAAGGCCGGCAAGGTTGTTTAGGGAGTACAATTATAATTTCTTGACATGTCTCAATACTTGATGATGCCTTTAATTTTGTAGGTCATAGGCTAAAACAATCTGTCTCTGGCTCTCCTAAGAGATGCATTCTATCTCAAATGGCGCTCGTAAATGTTTGCAATAAATTCAGCCTTTAGTAACTTTGGCACAACCACCTGGCTTCCTTTGTAATTTGAACCAGGTTTGTGATTAATGTTATGTTCAAGCTCAGTTTCTCTCATTTGGCGAAACACAAAAGGGTCCTTAACACAAAATCAGCGTGTCGACCTTCCTGTGTGCGGACAGACTTAAGATGGAACGTCAGCATGACTTACACCCGGTACATTCTGATTAAAGAATGTTTTGGATGATAATGTTTATTTGGATGAAAATATATTTCTTAAACTGGGCAAGAATGATAGTGAATCTATGCACGCAACCTGTTTATTTGGGGTGGGATGATTAATATTTAAGCGCATTTGTAAATTAAAACCTTTTCATTTGTATAATCGCTGCATAGTGGTGATAAGATATTGTCGTTTATGGTACACTATAAAGACTCTCACACTTGTGAAGATCACGAATCCGTCAGTGTAGATGAAAACATAATCCCTTCGCCTGTCTTATAGTTCGAAAAATTTATGTTTATATTTATATTGTTGGGGGTTGTAGTCACAGAGGAAAATCAAAATCAAAATCAAAATAAATTCATCTGGCTCCATAAATATTAAATAATATTTTTCACTATCACTGAAATCTCCATTACCAACAGGCAACTAGTTAAGAATAATAATAATATGTATATTAAGAAAAAAAATATTATTCATACACTTATGCTTGCATTATTCTGCCAAAGGCCACCAGAGGATCCATAATTACTATCCAAGATCAATATTCATACTGCCAACTATACTGCTGTAAAAGTAATAGGGATATTTCTTTTTGATATTTATTTTATCCTGTTAATTTTTTTTATTTGATATAAACTTTTTTTTGTTCATTAGGGATTCTCTTATTTGTAGGTAAACATAAAAAGTAATCAATTATTTTTAATAAATGATTAACTAAACGATAGTCAACATGAATAATACTCATTTTGTAAACCAATAGTTGTTTTCGACTTTTCTCAATTTTAATCCAATAATATTCTGTTTAACGAAGGAAAGACAAAATATTAAACAAGAAGTTTACAATATAATCGTGAGAATGACCGGTCAAAGGCACTGACAAGTGTATATCGCCGATGGAGTTGGCGTATCGCAGATTGTGGTCTCCCAAGCTTTAACTAGATTCAGAAAAAACAGAAATACCAAAAGAAGATCTGCCAGTGGATCTCGGCGTATCACGACTTCAAGGGACAACAGAAATATAGTTAGTACTGCAAGAATCAATCCTTTTCATAGTGCTCGACAAAGTCTAAATGAAGTGTTGAATGTTCTGCCGAGGCACAAATACAAGCCATTCGTATTCGGTGGTGGGAAATTGGTACATCTTATGCTCCTTTAAGACGACCTGCAACAACAATGCGTCTCAGACAGCTCCGCAGGTTATGGTACAGCGAGCGCCTAGATCAGGATACAAATCGGAATGATGTTATGTTTATAGGCAAATTGCGTTTCTGTAATTATAGCGATCATAAGCGCCGAAGAGTCTACCGAGAACAGAGGATAGGTAAACTGCTACAATTTGTGCTTCATTTGATACAGTTTAAGGGTGCGATCTACTCAAGAAGACGGACTCTACCGTATATTGTGGAAAGTAATATCATTGCACTTCGTTATGTACAAAAAATTATATAGGAGTAAATTCCTCAAATCAGCGCCTTAATTGCTACAGATTTTCTTGATTATAATATGCGACCTCACATAGAAAAAGTTGTTCATCAATGTATTAAAAATTTGGACATTTCACATCTGCACCTTCCAGTATTGTCTTTACATCTCAACCCCATTGAGCCCATGGAAGTAAATGGAGGGATGCACTGCAGCGAAGGCTTTTTGACCACCAATTGCAGCTTATTAATCTTCAGCAACTGAGAGCAGTGTTACCATGTTTATGGTATAAAATTCCTTGTGAAATCAGTGACATCATTATAAACAGTATGCTCACTATGTTCAGTGAGGTAATGCGTAACAGATGATATTACATAAATTATTAAATTTTAGAAAATGTTCACAATTCACAACCATAAAAAACAAGATCACATAAACCTTTAATATTTTTTTTAAAACATCTTTTAATTTTTCATGATGATTTTCTGTTTTTTATGATAAATATAAAATAAAAATTCAAAGGGAATTAAATCGTACATAACTAACAATATCCCTATTCATTTTTTAGCACTACATTTCTCCACTATATATATTTATTTGTTGCAAAGCGTCATTTTAAAGAAATTTTGTAAGAGATAAAAATTTTTGGAATGGGAAATTTCAAAAGGTTTGTTAAGATATTTCAAAAACTATCATCATCGTCCGATGGCGCTTAGGTCCTTGCAGAACCTTGGCCTCGTCTACTATCTTCCTCCAAACAGACCTATCTTCGGCCGACCCTCTCTGTCTATCTACATCGTTAGATCCGGCTCCTTAGATCGTTTTCGACACCTTCCAGCCAACGAAGTCTAGTCCTATTCCTATTCATTATACTCCTTTTCTGTTTATAATTTTCAGCGGCCTTTCTTGTATTTCTTTTTAGCATCCTTGTATAAGCTTTGGTCTTATTTTTTTCTGCTATTTAACATACTTCATCAAACCAACTATTATTTCTTTCTTTTTGTTTCTTTTTCAATATCTCTTCAGCAGCCTTTCTCTCTGTTTCTCTTATTTTTATCCATTTGTTTGGACACTATCTTCTCCATCTAAGGAGTTGTTTCTTAATTTTTTTTTTCCACCTTCCTCTTATACTGCTCTTGTTTCTCACGGTTTTCAGGCCCTTTTTCTTATATTTATTCCTTCCCAAACTATGGGTCTAACAAATATATAAATGATTATTTCACTACGTTAGTATTTTTTTATCTGCTGTCGGTATCAAGAGAGATAAACTGAATAGTTTGGTTTAGCAATAATGTCGCTTTTAGTTAAGTTAGATAATTGTGTTTCCCATAGTTTGTGAAATGTCTAAACGCACCTTAAGGATAAATTGGTAAAAATAAGAAAAGCGGTACGTTACGTTTCCTAAGCTGCAATACAAAGTGAAATACCCTAAATTCAGCACTGAGGTCATCGATGTCATCGGATCTGTCTCTAAACTGGGCTCAGCGTTGACGAAATATTTTTATAAGAGGGAAGGCTCAACAGTACTTTCGAACAATTTGCAGGTGAGGATTATAGATGCGCCTAATAGATGGAAGAAGATAGCCCGAGAGGATCCGATTGAAGCATGGAACTAGCAGTGGGTAGCTACCTCTAAAGGTAGTACATTGAGGAAGTACTTTCCCACTGTACATTAGAGGCTGCAGATAAAGTGGATCCTCCCGGACTATTGGATTTCCCAGTTCCTCACTGAACATGGAGGATTTCGAGCTAAACTTCACGGCCTGGGTATTGATGTAGATCATCTGTAGTGTTCCGGAAACTGTAAACGACCTGGTGGTCACGACCTGCCTCGCATTTGAAACGTTAAGAGTGATTATGACAAGGGCCGCAGGTATTTATATCCTCACTGAAAATGAGTTTTCTCAATTAGTTAGTGAGGAAAATTTCTGGCGGTTTATGGAATTCATAAGTGGATAGAATTCGGCGGTGGGACCCGCTCACTTCCGTGTTGGTGACAGCAGAAGAAGAGGACAAGCGCCAGGAAGACCTCCAGATTCTGGAAGCTGGGCCGAAAACGATAAACAAGAAACTAATTAAACACATGCTATTTTAAGCATAAACACCCGTATTGCCATAGAGGCGCGGGAAGCTGTAATATATAAATATAAATTCAGCCTTTAGTTTAGGAACGTGCCCTAATTTAGTCACAGGTTGATCAGGCACATCTACTATTGTAATCAGAAAATCCTATATTCAGGAAAACATAAATGTAAAAACTAAATCAATATAACTATTCAAATGCCCCAAAATTTCTTTTTTATAATTCGGTTGTTCATATCAATTTGAGTTATGTGCTCTACTATATTATCTTTAACTTTCGTTGTTAAGTTCTGGGAGATAGCTCTTTACAATTTATGATATATTTATAACCTGCTCTAATTGAAGTGACGTGAATTAGGTAGATACAAGATTCAGAAATGGAACTTAATTGTATAGATAGATTCTAAGTTAGTTTATTTCACGAATTAAATTTATCTTGCCAAAAAGTGTCTGTTCTTAACCTTACGAAGGTCTTTATATTTGATAATATCTGTTCGTGTATGTTAATTTATAAATTAGTAGTTCCACATCGTTGAGTTCTATCTTGAATTTAATATTATGAGCATGTTAAGGCATAGGAAAAAATCTCCGTACTATGGTGTTGAAATAATTAAGAACTTGGATTCGTTTCCTAAAGTTAATAAAGAAGATTTCATTGAAAAATCGAGAATTGGTGGTACCGGTATGGTTTATTGTTTTAAATAATTTAAACTAATGTGTGAAATTTGACTATATCAATGACTATGTAAATTTTGGGTTTTCAGTGACTGTCATAGCATATATTCTTATACTTTGGATAATTGTACATGAAGTGAGGTACTACTTTGAAAGTCATGTTGATTTTAAGTTTATGCCTGACAAAGATTATGATGCCAAACTGAGGCTAAATCTGGATCTTACAGTTGCCATGCCTTGTTCAAGTTAGTTGTTAATAATAACTTATGGAACAGTGTTATATTTAAAATAATATGGATTTCGTATACAATATAATATTTTTATATTATGTTATGTTATTTTCAACTTATGTTTAAGTTGTGTTAAGTTATGTTCAACTTATTTTTAATAGTTCTATTGTATTTTTAGGTATTGGAGCTGACATTTTAGATTCAACGAATCAAAATATGTTGAAATTTGGCAAATTAGATATGATGGATACTTGGTTCGAAATGACTTCAGAACAAAGGCTTAACTTTGATGATATCCGTCGAGTTAATTCTTATCTGAGAGAGGAATTTCATGCTATTAATGATCTTTTATGGAAATCTGGTCATAGTATAACGCTCAGAAAATTGCCACAACGGTAACTCTGATTTATTATATTTAATATAACTTTGTTAATTAATTACTACTCCAAAAGTTATAATTTTTCTATGACAGGGAGATAATTGATAGTAATCCTCCAGATGCTTGTCGAGTTTATGGTTCATTGGTTTTGAATAAAGTAGCGGGGAACTTGCATATAACAGCTGGAAAATCACTTCACTTGCCCGAAGGACATGTTCATATTTCCGCATTTGTATCTCAAGCGGAATATAATTTTTCTCATAGAATTCATCATCTTTCATTTGGAGACTCAGGGGTTGGCATTATCCACCCTTTAGATGGTGAAGAGAAGATTGCAGATATTAGTAGGTTTGCTTTAATTTTTATCTTACTATAATTTTTACATTTTTCTATATATATTTCTTTTTTTTAAGATATGGCACTCTATCAGTATTTTGTTGAGATTGTTCCAACTGATGTGGAAACATTTTTATCAAAAGCCAAGACTTATCAGTATTCAGTGAAAGATAGTTTACGGATCATAAATCATGATAAAGGTAATGATTTTGGCAATAAAATTATGAGTAAAGACATTAATGCTTTTTTTTATTCCAGGTTTTTTAATGTTATTTTTATTATGATTGTGGAATGATTGTTGACTGTAGTGAATAATTGAAGAGAAAATTGGTTGGGGTGTTCAGTAAAAAAAATAAGTAAAAATAAATAAATTATATAAATATAAATTTAAAAAAATATATAATTTATGTATTTTTAATTTTTTTTTTTTTTTATTGAACTCTCAAACCAATCTTCTCTTCAACTACTTTCATTCTAATATTTTGGTTTAATAAACTGTTTATTTATTTATTTGATTAAAATTTAAGGCTCCATTTACAACATTGAATGAATTTAGTTTTGCTAATTTCTTCAAATAATAAATATTGATGTTTCTGAATGAATTAGTAATTTTAATGTAATGGATATTAGTTTTTATTTTTGTAATGAGTAATTTATCTCTAGACTTGTCACTTTTATATTAACTATAAAATAATGGTAAATGAATACCATATAGCTGTCATGTCAGGCTAGAAGGAGGACAGGATATTATATATTAATTCTTTAGCAGACATCAATTTTCTTAAAATTAAAATTTTATATTATAGAATTGGGATCACAAATTTCAATCAAATCGGTTTTACTGGGTCATAGAATATTTTTGCCAATGTATCCTAGAATCCAAGAAAATAAATATTTTATATAATTTCAACAATTCTTTATATTATTGTTTTTTGCTTTTGCTCTGTTTGGATTTCTAGGTTATTATTATATATTAATCTATTTGTTATATTTGTGAACAAATTTGTAGTTTTTGATTGATATGAAAATTTGTATGTAAGAGTTTTTCTGAATTCGGATGTTTATATAATTTTCTGCCAAATATAAACTTTTCTTAAATGGATTTTGTATCTAGAGCAGCGAATAAATGCACACTGTCAGGTCCAAAAACAACAATAATGCATGTATTTTAGAGTTCTAGGTTCAGGAGGGATTGATCACTCACTAAAAATTTGTATTTAAGGATTTTTCTTAGTACAAAAAAATGAATATGAACTCCTAATAGCATTTGAAAAATAAAAATGTTTTGCTCAAAATTGTTGTCTACTTTTACATTAATCGTAAATACATAAAATGTTTACAATGGCATGCTCTTTATCACCTCTTCTCTCATAAAAATACAATAAAACCTTTTTTGATATTTATTCTAAAATCTTTAGTTGTACAACAATTTATTATACAAATATGTTATTACTGGTATTGATCGAAAGAATTTGATATTCATTTTAAATATGGAAAAATGTTTCTCTTTTTGTTAACTATCAAATTCTTTCTTGGTTTATATTAAGCCATTTCTTATTATTGCTAGCTATGAGAATCTGTTAATTATTTCAAATGTACCATATTAAAGGAAGCCATTTTGAAAATTTACCATTTAAATACTGTCAAACTATTTCAATAAGCATAAGACCTGTCATTGAATATAATTTAATTGTATTTTAGTATAACAAGTTTAATAACTTCATTTATTTCCTTCTGTTCCTCGCTTTTAGGGCTATACAGATTTTTCCTAAGCCAGAAGCGAGAGTGGGAAAATTATGCAAAAGTTAAAAGTCTCTCAGCACTAGGATTTGAGTTTGTAACATTCGGGTTATCAGATTGCCTGGGCAACACATATTTTACACAAGGCATTACACTGCTTGGCCACCCTGCCACCCTAATAACTTACGTTTAAAAAAAAAGTGAAAATCTTTAATATCCTCACACGGGCTCATTACTGTGTAGGGGAGCGTCCCACAGGTGGCGGATGTGGGAATGGTCTGTGGAAATTCCTCTGAAGTTCCTCCTGGCTAGGTCCTATGAACTTGTTGGCCAACAATGAAAAAGGCCCTCCAGACTTTCTGGAGGTGGGGAACCTTCAGACTTGCTGGCTGGAGGGTGTGACGTAGGAGCACCCTACTCATATATTTATAGTTCACAAAATACCAAACAGTCATAGATCATCATAAAGTAAAACTCTCATTATCCGAGAGGCAAACTAGTCCCCTGTTTGGGTATTGGGGAGGTGACTGCTTCAGAGGATTCATGGCGCAAGTTGAAAACTAGAGATTTAAGTATAGCAACGTGGAACGTAAGGAGTTTGAATACAGCAGGTGTGTTGAAATTGGTCATAAATGAGGTTAATGGGTACAATTTAGATATTGTGGCATTGCAAGAGGTTCCTTGGCCAGAGAAAGAATCTATAAGGAAAGGTAAGTACACTTTTTGGTACGGAGGAAGCGGAAATCATTGTTTAGTTACTGGTTTTCTTATTAGGAATAGATTTCTATCTGCTTTGATGGAAGTACAATTCTTTAGCGATAGGATTTCGGTGGCCATATTCCAGGAGTATTGGTTTCAAATTGCGTTGATAAACATACACTGTGTGAACGAAGAGAGTGATGACGAAGCCAAATGCGAATTTTATGATAAACTATCACGAAGCTGCATGAACATAATTTTAAGAGACACTAACGCAAAGGTGGGAAGGGAAGAAGCTTATTTTCCGACAATCGATAAAGATAGTTTACATGATTTTAGTAATGATAATGGAATTTGGCTAGTAAATTTTACCATATGGAAAAACCTGATAATTAAAAGTACTACGTTTAGACATAAGGATATTCACAAATATTCTTGGACATTACCGGATTCGTAAACACGAAATCGAATTGATCACATCTTGATAACATAAGTGGCTAAGTATAATTAATATTAGGTCTTATCCCGGGACAGAATGTACGTCAGATCATGAATTAGTAATCACAAAACTTTGGCAAAAGCTTAATATAAAAAAGAGAGTCAGAAAACCGTTTCGATTCCGAGAATATTAACAATATTTTAAATATAAGAAATAATGATCTGTTTCCTCCTTTAGAGTACCAGAGTGGCGAACTGTTAATAGAAGAACCAAGTAAAGAGGAAGTTGAAATAGCTGTCAGAAAATTAAAATCTTATAAAGCAGCGGGGACCGATGATATTCCTAGTGAACGAATTAAGGCTTGTGAGAAAGCTGAAGTTTATATAATACATTTTTTGGTTAAAAAGATATGGAAGAATGATAAATTGTCTTATTCTGGTCCACAAAAAAGGCTCGGGGACGGATTGTAATAACTATCGAGGAATTTCACTCCTTCCGGGATGTTATAAAATATTCACGTTAATCTTAACTAATCGAATCATGGAATACGCCGAGAAAATTATTGGAGACTACCAATGTGGGTTTAGGAGGAACCATTTGACTATCAGTCAAATATTATAGTAAAAATTAGAGTACAACAGTGTTGTTCATCAGCTGTATATTAATTTCATAAAGGCTTATGATGCTATTGACCGTCAGAAACTGTATAATATTCTAATCGAGTAGGGGATCCCAAAAAAAGGAGTGAATCTTGTTAGGATGTGCTTGACAGAAACACTCAATAAAGTTAGAATAGATTATTATTTATCCGAGAAAACCTTAAAACAAGGTGATTCTCTTTCATCTGTCCTGCTTAATTTGGCATTAGAACATGTCATTACAGAGGTGATACTTACCGAAAAAGGTTTGAACCTGGGTGGAACAATATCCATCAATATAACGGATAAGACAAAATATATGATTAGCTGGAAAAACAGTGACAATTTCAATGATATCGATATAGAAGAGAATGTGTTTGAACAGATTTTTAGGTATCTCCTATGGGCTATGATAACTAGAAAAAACGAAATTGAAGAGGATATTAAGGTTAGGCTGAAGTCAGAAAATGCTTGTTATTTTTCTTTGTTAAAACTACTTAGTTCTCGCCTCCTGTCCTGAAACTTAAAAATTAGAATTTAGAAAACCATTATCCTTCCTATAGTTCTTTATGGATGCAAAACGTGGCCGCTTACATTAAGAGATGAGCAGCGTCTAAAGGTTTTTGAAAATGAAGTGTTACGCAGCATATTCGGACCGTAATAGGATGAGTCAACTGGAGAATTTAGGCTGTTACACAATGCTGAATTGTGTGAACTGTATTCGGTGAATATAATTGAGGTGATTAAGTTGAGGGGAATAAAATGGGCAAGTAAAATCGCTGGGTTTACTTACGAAAGAATTCCTATAAAGTTAATATGTGCTGTACCAACTGGCAAGCGACTGAGGAGTAGACCAAAGTGAAGGTGAGTAGATTCGGTTAAGGCTGATTTGAAAGGGTTGAGATTAGACGGAGTCCAGTGGATGGAAAAATGTGGACATCGATTGGTGGTATCGGCATGGAATCTTTGGGTTTGCTAATCCTTATTATTAAGATCTTTAATATAAGTGATAAATAGTTAGAATGCAGTTATTTTAAAGATTTTATTAGGGCCGATGTTTCAACCCAAACATGTGGGTCATCAGGGCATGTTTCGAGCACTGAAGGTATTCAAGTACTCCATTCAATCCATATCAATTACTCCATTCAAGTAACATGTTTGGATTGAAACGTTGGCACTAATAAAAACCTTAAAAATGACTGCGTCCTGACTATTTATCACCCATGATATGTAGAACAGTCGACTAACTTTCTTCAATAGTTCTTTAATATAAAATGGTACTTTCATTAGTTCAATTTTATCAAAGTTGCTGTATCATCCAAAGCATGCTCCTATTGTTAATATGTAATTTTAGTTTCATACAACTTCTCGTTTTCAAGTTAGGCTGTTCACATTCACATAGACACAGGGACTATTTCACGAGACTTGGTTGTTGAGACTCAGGGAACCTTAAGAGGTTTATTTTCGTTTAAAAATTGGATTTGAAATTTTTCATGATCACAATATTTTTTCTTACTACTATATATTTTTTCTTATAAAGGTAAATAGAAGTAAACATTTTTCTTCTTAATTTTCCAAAAAGAAAAATGTTCAATTCATAAAAAATACTTTAGACATTATCTGATTTAATTGTATGATTATGCATTCAAGTTAATTATTAAATTTTTTTTTTTCTAGGTTCACATGGTGTACCTGGCATTTTTTTCAAATATGATATCAGTGCTTTGAAGGTTGTAGTTACTCAGTCTCATGAGCCTCTTCTGAAATTTTTTGTAAGACTTTCATCAACTTTATCAGGTGTCTTTGTTTCTGCAGGTAATTTTTTTTTATATTCAAAGAAAAATTATATTTTAAGGGGTTTCAAGTCATATGTTTAGGCTTACTGAGTAGTTGGACATAAGCATATAGTGAAACCCCGTCGCTTTGACTCCTTGCATAAAATGAACTTTATTTCATAAGAATTCTCCTGACTAATCTAAATCTTAAAATTATTCTTCCTTAAATAAACCATCCTAATTTTATTTATCTCAATAAAAAGGACTTTTTAGTAACTTTTCATAGGGTTCATATACCATGCCAAATAAATTGAGCCGCTTGAAAGGATTTAAAAAGATTAGTGAAATGACCAAGTACTATAAGTAGCAAATAGCTGAGGAGGTAGCATCACTTTGAAGGATTAAAAGAAGAATTAGGACCAGTTCAAATCATTCAGTATATTTTCTGATTATCAAAATTTTAAAAATCACTCAAATACATTTTTACTTTCACTTACTTATAGAGGATGTGCTGTAAGTAGAGGGAAATATTTAAAAGGATAATAGACATCTAGATCTACAAACAAGTTCATATAAACAATTACCCAATTTCCAGCAGAAAAGTAGGAAATTCAAGATTTATGTGTTTTTAAGTGAGTCATGTTTTTTGTTGAATAGAAAGCAGTAACAAATAAATATTTAACTTAAGTTATTAAGAATTGATCGACAGTAAACTTGAAAACATTTATTATGGATAAAGTAGATTTTGTCATTGTTAAAACCATTTAAAGACGATTATTGAGCGGCTAAACTCATGTAAGTTTCATTAAAAAAAATATAAATTATTTGTGATTTTTTTTATCACCCTTTAACGGTGATAAAAACCTACTTTTAGAAAAACTTCCTCATTTAATAAGCTTCAAGTCCATATTAATTAATTGAGCTTTATTAGGAAAAAATTTTAGATTCACCTCAAGTTGTATTTAAGAAATTTGGTGATTAACATTCAGTCGCCTTAAAGTATCCGTTTTTTCTGAATAAATGACTACAATTTACTGTTGCAAAGCTTCTATTTCTTATTATGTTTTTCCGTGATGTGGGATATATTGCAATAAACTTAATTGCCTAAAAAGACATTTTATTTATAAATATAAAAAAATTTAAAATAATGATTTCTAAAATATTTTTTACGTAAAGTGGTTATGAAACTGTCCTTTTACCAAATCTCTGTCATAGGAATTGATTCATATTTATAGGTGACAAACTTAATGTTTCTTACAACAATTTACGTTTAAAATAAAAATACCTACTGATTGCTTCAATTATTTTCATGAAAACATAAATATTAGGGCTAGAAACATTAAGTTTGTCACTTATAAATATGCCTCAATTCCTATGACAGAAATCTTGAAGAAAAACACATCTTCATAACCACCTTACATGAAAAATATTTGAAAGATCATTATTTTGATAAATAAAATGTGTTTTTAGGCAATTATTTTTATTACAATATATTCCATATCACAGAAAAACAAGAAATAAAAGTTTTGCAACAGTTAATTTTAGTCACTTTTTCAGAAAATACTGATACTTTAAGGTGACTGGATAGGAAATCACATTTCTTTAATTGAGCTGAATGAGATGAATCAAAATTTTTCCTAATAAATCTCAAATTAATTAATATGGACTTAACGTTTATTAAACGAGTAACTTGTTCTAAAAGTGGGATTAGAGGGTGATACAAAAAAAATCACAAATAATCTATGAATTTTTTTTAAACAGAATTAAGCTGTTTGTCTGTCCAATAGTCCTCTTTACATAGTTTTAACAATGACAAACTCTACTTTTGTTCAGAGTAAATTTTGTCTAGCTTATTATGGAGCAATGTTTAATTATTAAAATAAAAAAAATTGTAAGTTATCGTTTCCTATTCAACAAAAAACATGATTCGCTTAAAAATTACAATTTGAAAACATTTTAAATAAAAACATTAAATGAGCCATCACTGGAGTTTTCAGACAGATGAGGAGACAGAGGGTTATTCTAAAATTTAAATAATGAGTCTAATTCCTTTATTAGACTGTATTACTTACAGGGTGAGGTTACGAACGTGGGATCACCAATTTCAATGACTCTTTTTTTCGGTGATACTTGGTTGAAAAATATTAGATCCATCTCCTAGGATTTTTGTAAAAAAAAAGTGATTCTATACTTTTTTTTTTAAAAAAAAAGGCCAAAAAAATATGTATTATTTTTATATTATTGTGTTCTATGTTAGCTTTTGAGTAGCTTCTAGCTTATAATATACCATTTACTTATGTTTTTTTAAAAAAAGTAAAATGAGAAAAAATATTGCTGATTTTATTAAATGAATTAAAATATATAATATACTAGCTTTACCCGGCCATGCGCTGCTGCAGCTTAGCCTGGTAAAATGAAAAAGAAAGAAAATATAAAGCACATATGAGTAGATTAGTAGCAAAGGACATCTGTCATTTTTAAAAAGTTGGGAAACAAATTTGTCTGTAAAATGGCTTCAATTTAAACTAATTTTAATAATTTTTTTTCTCATGATTCAAATTGAACCTTCATAATCATCTGAGTGAATACGTCGTCATTCATAATCATCAGAAACAGTCTGAGTTGAACTTATAAAACTAAATTAAAAAATTAATAAAATAAATGTATAATAGTATTGACCTACATAAAGAGAAACATATAATTTCTTCAAATGATAATTTCAATTACTGTAATAATTATAAAACTTTCGATTAATCAATAAAAAAAAAAAAAAAAAATGCTTGCCGACCTTCGGTAGTGAGGAAACAAAAGGAAACGGCCTTTTCTGAAGAGAAAGCAGTAAACGTTTAAAACTCTATAACTCTGCAACGAACCTTCTGATTTCGATGATTTTTTATTTTTATTTTGTCAGCAATTCAGAAATCTTTCATATAAATAAGGGCATTATCCGTAAAAAATTGTGTACTTTTTTAGTTATCAGCAAATAGAATATTAAATTTATCGTAACATTTTTCAATTTGTTTTCGGGAAAGTATGTTAAACACATAAATTAAAAAGGGTTTCAAGGAGAAGACTTTAGCCAAGTTTCGTTAAAATTGGTAAAGCTGTTTTGGCGCTACAGTTTATAGCGACACATTTTTTTGCGGTATTGAACAGAAAAACATTTACATTTTTATTTTTTTTACATATATAAAATTATCATAAGACAGAAGTACTATGCCAGAAACCTTCCCAGGAGTGTACGGAACAACTTCCCAAAGTTTCATGGTAATCGGATGAATGGTTTAGTAATGCACAAAGGACAGGCAGACAGACAGACATACATACATTCATTTTTATATATATAGCAGATTAAATAAACCAAAAGATATTTCCAGTGAAAAAAACTTGGTAAATTTTTTATGATGAAAAAACTATTCTAATTCGTTTTTAGAGTTCTTTAAAACTATTTTACTAAGGTATTGAACTAAAAAATTTAATTTTTGGACTTGATTTTTTTTCCTTGCGTACACTAAAGCTCTCCAAATTCAGCGTTACTATAACCATTGGAAACCTGAATTTCTGCTCTTCCAAACCATATTAATAACTTTAAGATTTAAAGCCTTTATAAGTAATAAATTAAAAAAACTTCATCAAATGTTTATATTTTATATAGTCAGTTCTCATCTGTTTATGGAGGTCTGGCTTGTGTCATTGTGTTAAGTTTATCGACCCCTGAATCCTAGCTAAGTTTCCTGTGGTTAGGTGGAGTCATGTTGAAGTTATCTGAATTTTTTTTATTGTAAAAAAAAATTGTGTTTTTCAAATGCTATGAAAGTTTGTGGTTATCGGTTTTTGTACATTTTTATAAATGTCATGGTAAGGTATAAACTAGGCATCCATAAACAGATGAGAACTGAATATATAAAATACAAACATTTGATGAGTTTTTTTTTATTTATTTCTTATAAAGGCTTTAAATCTTAAAGTTATTAATATGGTTTGGAAGAGCAGAAATTGAGGTTTCCAATTGGTCATAGTAATGTTGAACTCTGAGAAAACTCTAAGGAGTTATGAATGCTTTAGTGTATGTCAGAAAAAAATCCTCCAATAAAATCAAGTCAACAAATTTATATTTTTTTAGTTCAATACAAAATTGTATTTAAATGACACTAGAAATGAATCTGAATTGCTTTTTCATTACAAAAATTTACTTGTTTTTTTTTTTACTGGAAATATCTTTTAGTTTATTTAATTTATTATTCTTTTGAATTCATTTAATATAATCAACAATATCTTTTTCTTTTTTATTTTATACAAAGAAACAAAGTGGTTGGTATATTATCAGCTAAAAATCCATGTAGAGCAAAGGCAGAACACAATAATATAAAATTATATCAATATTTTTTTTTTCTTGGCTCCTTTGGCACATTGGCAAGAACTCTTAGACACGGACCTAATACTTTTTGACCTAATTGAACCAAAATAAGTTTTATTGAATTCAGTGATCGGCCTCATATTGGTTATATCTCCTTAATAGTCTCTTAACTTCTTCATTTTTATCTCATCTGAAATAGAATTGATATGTACTTGAAACATATTCCTCTTATGAACTTAAATCTAGGTTTTTTTGGTTTTTAATTGATCTATTAAATGTATCCCTTGTTTTTGTTTATATTTTTCTATTTGATATTAATTAATAATAAGATTATTTAGTAATATGAAAAGTAAATAAAAAAAAATTGAAAAGTTATGTTTTATTTATTTCAGGAATTTTAAAAGACTGCATTTTGTTTATAACAAAAAAACTTGAGAGAACCCTTTATCCCGAACAGAAAAAAAATGGAGTAAGTGTTGAAAAAGTTCCTGAAGAAGTTTATAGTTTATGACATTCCCTCCAATTTGTTAAACAATATTTAATGACTTATTTTGTATTTTTAAAAATAAAGTTTTATAACAAATATTTTAGTTGAAATTGAACATTTTTTTTTTATAGCTAAATTCCCATGCCATTTTAATAATTGTAATGAAAGGTCTTTGTTTCTATGAAAGTTTCATAATGCAAGCTCCAAATTTTAAAAATTGCAATGAAAGAAAAATTTAAATCTTGAAATGTTTCGTTGGGGAAAGAGCACATTTTCACTAGGTTGTGAATTTTAGTGGAAAACCATATTTATTTGTGGTTTAAATTTCAAATCAGAAAACCAGGAAAAGATCATGGAACTGACTACAGCTAGTGTCAAATAAATAACAATTTGTATTTCTACTTTAAGTTTAATAAATTTTAAGAAGCGGAACACATAAATTTTTTGGAAGGGGAGGGTGTCCTTTAGGGACATTCCATCCAGATTTGCTTCTTTTATCTGCCATGTAATTAGCCCCAAAGATGGTGGGATCTTTTTTATCACAGGTAATGATAAGTTTAAGAAACCCAATCAGCAGAATAACTTATGGTTACTATACAATGTATAGCCTCCAGAGAAATAATTTATAAATTTATGATAGAAAAGTCCTCACCTTCTTTGAATGGATGAATGCCATGAAATTAAATGTTAATTATGCTCTTCTCTGCGGAGCACCAGAGGCCGGAAGCCAGGTTAGTGGAGATTAGGGATGGGTCGGATTGTATGTTTCAGATACTTTTATCTGATTCTAAAAAAGTATCTGATACAACCAGTAGATACAACCCAAAAGTATCTGATAAAGATGTTCATATGGATACAAAATGGTTGTCCAGACATGCCACATTGATATAAGAGAAGTGCTTAGTTATAATTTTAGTTGTGCACAATTTCTTTAGAACTATCTATTCATTTAGTTTAATTTAATTAAATATTTATTTGTAGATAAATATATTCACGCTTATTTTTTTTTTTTTTATGTAATGTTAATTTCGGATATTTTTATCTGATACTGCTCTCGGATATTTTTATCTGATACTAGTATCAGATATTTTTATCTGATACTGGCATCGGATGCTTTTATCTGATATTTGTATCAGATATTTTTATCTGATATTTGTATCGATATTTTTATCTGATATTTGTATCGGATATTTTTATCTGATACTTTTATCTGATATTTTTATCTGATACCTGGACTAGATACCCAGCGGTATGCATACTGGCTGGCGCTTGGGCTTAATAGTTAATATATAATAGTTCTAATGACTGTATAGTTATGTCAGGTACTATGAAAATATTTACAAAATTATTTAAACAAAATATACTTCATATTTGACAAAAGAATGGAATATATTAAATAAAAATATAACAAATTCATGCAGAGAAAATATTTTCCTAATACAACGTTCTTAAGAATTTTGTAACAATTAAAAAAATTCTTTATAGCTAAGTTTAACATACACACTCATATATATATATATATATATATTTTTTTTTTTTTTTCCTGTTTGTATTACAGACCATGTAGATCTTTTGCCACCTGAACAAGTATGCTCAATCTCTGCCTCTCTTGGGCTATTTCTTTCCATTATCTGATATTTGTATCGGATATTTTTATCTGATACTTGCATCGGATACTTTTATCTGATACCTGGATTAGATACCCAAGCAGTATGCATACTGGCGCTTGGGCTTGATATCTTAATAATTGTATCAGATACTTTAATCCAACTGTAATCGATTATTGATCGGGTTTGATATTTTTAATACCTATTTGATACCTAATAAAACATATATTAAATATGTACCTATATATATTTTATTCCTTTACTATTAAATTTGTCCCTGTAATAAATACTTTACACCATTTTTAAATATAACAGTTCTAATGACTTTATAGTTGTCAGGTACTATGAAGATATTTACACAGTTTTTTAAACAAAATAAGCTTCATATTTGTCAAAAGAATGGAATATATTAAATAAAAATATAACATATTCATGCAGAGAAAATATTTTCTTAATACAACGTTCTTAAGAATTTTGTAACAAATTAAAAAAATTCTTTATAGCTAAGTTTAACATACTCAGGATTTAGATTATATAGGACTTGTATAATGTTTGCAATACTATTGTTGTATTCTTTGAACATATTAAATTACATATGTAAATCATTTAAAGTAAATATTTATCCACTCTTTTATTATTATTTTTTCATTAATACAATGGTATGACAACAAAAGTAATTTGTCATTCATTTCAAATTTCAGTTAAAATTCCATAGTTTATTGTTTTTAGTAACTATTTTGCTGTATTGGGACCTCATTGTTCATATTATGTCTTTAATATATCAGTATAGTTATGTAAATCCTTCTGTTATTACTTATTGTTTAGTTTTTTTTTTTTTTTTTTTTATTGTAGTATGTATTTTGGCGAGATGTTATGTTAATTTTTATGTACAATATTGTTATTCTCAAGGGACTTTGGCCCAGAATAAAGTTGATTCTTCTATTCTATTCTATTCTATTCTATATATATATATTTATTTTTTCTGTTTGTATTGTAAACCATGTAGATCTTTTGCCACCTTAACAAGTATGCTCAATTTATTGTAATATGCATTTTGGCCAGATGTTATGTTAATTTTTAGGTACAATATTGTTATTCTCAAGGGACTTTGGCCCAGAATAAAGTTGATTCTTCTATTCTATTCTATATATATATATATTTATTTTTTCTGTTTGTATTGTAAACCATGTAGATCTTTTGCCACCTTAACAAGTATGCTCAATTTATTGTAATATGCATTTTGGCCAGATGTTATGTTAATTTTTATGTACAATATTGTTATTCTCAAGGGACTTTGGCCCAGAATAAAGTTGATTCTTCTATTCTATTCTATATATATATTTATTTTTTCTGTTTGTATTGCAAACCATGTAGATCTTTTGCCACCTTAACAAGTACGCTCAATCTCTGCCTGCCTTGGGCTATTTCTTTCCATTTATCTGCACGCAGCTCTATTGCATCTTTGTTGATTCTGTCTATCCATCTGCTTTTTGACCTTCGACGTGGTCTTTTGCCTACTATTTAGGCATTCATTGTTACGTAGAGGCTTCCAGATGGATTGCTAGGAGCTACATGGCCCTTCCATCTTTATCTCTGTGCCTTCATATTATGGGAGATTGATTGACGATGTTTCTGTAAGCAGTTCTTTATCGGTCTTTCTTCTCCATGTGTTAGTACTCTGATCCCAGATATATATAAAACAAAAATAGCTTAGAAAAAATTGAACTTTTAATTTAATTAGTTTGAAATGAAATAAAAATAAGGAGGATGTTATCGACATATTATAATAATTAATTTCACTGCTGATAAAGACTTTTGACTTTATAAAAACAAACATTTATTAGCATTGTGGTAAACATATTTACATCAAAACAAATTATTTAACAACTTCAGTAAAATATTAATTAAAATAAGTAGCTAACAGGTAAATATTAATGTAAATATTTTTTATACATATCTTATTAAATTAAGCATTGGATTGATACTAGTTACTGGACAATAAAATATATATTAAATATGTGCCGATATATATTTTATTCTTTTAGTGCCATATTTGTCCCTGTAATAAATATTTTACAGTCAATAAACTTATGAATTATATAGCTTTTTTACTTTTTCTGAGGACAGCCGAGTCCTCCTTTCGTTTAAAATATTGCCGGTTTTAGAAAAAACCCTTTCACATGGCACTGATGTTACCACTGTGCAAAATTTTTGTCTAACAATTTTTGACAGAAATGGAAAATTGTAGGAATGTTCCCTCCACCATTTCAGCGGGTCGCTATTTTCACATGGTAGCGGTTTCTCCAGATAACGTTGTACTTCTGTGATGGCTCTTGACATCGGGGTCCCAGCTGGCTTGTAATTAGCTGCAATTCGTCTGTATGTATTAAATGCAGCGAGTTTCTTTGTTACAAGAGTGGAACTTGTCGAATGAGTATCACTACTCATTTCAACTGTACCACCTGAAGGATCTTCTCCTAAATCTTGATTAATTTGGCTGGCCACCAAATTGATGATGTTTTTTTTGCTGTTTCGGCTGTTTTTTTTTAAGGAAAAGCTATATTTTTGAATCTGGGATCGAGGAACGTAGCTGTAACAAGGGTTTTGCTTCTCTGCAAATTTCCCAGGCGACCCTCAAGTCCCTCCTTTAATTTATTAATTAACAATTTAACTGATGAAGAAAAATTGAGATTATCCTCAATCATATTGTTATATAAATCCAAAATTCCTTGGATTAAAATTATAATAGAGGACTCTGTCACATAGTTTTCGCCACTTATGTGGTCCGTTACCTCTTTCATGGGTTGTAAGTCAGTAGTGATTTCTGATGCTATAACCCATTCTTCTGGTGATAGTACTTCAATGGGTTTGTCTATGAGTGCTAAAGTAGAGTGAATGGATGTTTTGAGTGAAACAAAACAGGAGAACATATTATAGGTGGAATTCCACGTTTTCGGGACATCTTGAATTAATTTTTTGGGTTCAAGCCCATTTTGTTTCTGAGTATCAATCAATTTCTGGGTTGATTGTGTACTATGTTTAAAATAATTAACAATGGCCTTAATCTTTTTTATAAGCGATCCTAAATCTCCTTCTCTTGATTCGCTCTCTAGGGAATTCTTCACAATTAAATTTATCATATGGGCTAAGCACCCAAAATGTTTCCATTTTAAAATATCTGTTATGGTTTTTTTTTATATTTGCTGCATTGTCACTAATGCATAGTAAAATTTTATTTTTTATCCCCCATTCCCGAGATACTCGGTCTAACTCCAAAGCCAAATTTTCACTTGTATGTTGCTTGGGGAAAGAGAATCATTCCAGCACGTTTGAATTAATTTCAAATTGATTGTTTATGTAGTTGGAGGTTATTGCCATAAAACTATCTTTGGTGGGCAAAGTCCAGCAATCGGTTGTAAGAGTTACTGAAAATATCTCCTCACTTAAATAATTTAAAAAAAAATTAATTGTTGCTTCCTCATACATTGCTGGTATCAATGTCTGAGAAATTGTTTTTCTGGAGTGTAATACATAATTTGAATTCATGCGAGATGAATAAACGCGGAAGCCTTCATCTTCAACAATGCTGAAGGCCTGAAAATCTTTTGTAAATAACAAAATCAATCCTTCATCTATGTGTTTTTTTCAGGAACAGATAGCTTCTTCTTTAAAAACAATCTAAGGGTTTGTTGCTTAGAGTTATCTGTGCTCATTCTTTGATGAGATTCAACATTAGATGTATTATCTGATGTTGATGCAGATTGGGGAGATACAGGGCAGATATATCCCAAGATGTAGATTGATCGGTAAAAATAAAAGATATATACATATGTGTGAGTATGTTAAACTTAGTTATAAAGAATTTTTTTAATTGTTACAAAATTCTTAAGAACGTTGTATTAGGAAAATATTTTCTCTGCATGAATTTGTTATATTTTTATTTAATATATTCCATTTTTTTGTCAAATATGAAGCATATTTTGTTTAAAAATTTTTGTTATATTTTCATAGTACCTGACATAACAATAAAGTCATTAAAACTATTATATATTAACTATTAAGCCCAAGCGCCAGCCAGTATGCATACCACTGGGTATCTAGTCCAGGTATCAGACAAAAATATTAGATAAAAGTATCAGATAAAAATATCCGATACAAATATCAGATAAAAATATCCGATACAAATATCAGATAAAAATATCAGATAAAAGTATCCGATGCCAGTATCAGATAAAAATATCTGATACTAGTATCAGATAAAAAGTAGTAGGAAGGTAATGACAAACTACTGCCCCATTGGTATCAGATACAAAAGTATCAGATACAAAAAAGTACCCATATCAGTTGTACCTAGATACAAAAATTCTAGTATCAACCCATCCCTAGTGGAGATGTTAGACCCCTCTGCCGCAAATGTGGCCGACAGTCAGAAACCCCAGCAATTGTCCACATAACATGATCCTTGTCACCTTCCAGTACAATAATATAAAACATCGTATAGCATAGGCGTACACTTTTCATTCTGGTTAATGGGGCGATGGAGTCTTCGCTAATTTGATTCTACAAACCGTTCTTGGCATATCTGATGTGTATTCCAATGGTCAGATCTAATTCTAATATTTTTTTTAAAAATTATTATCTATCAATTGAAGGATATCATAGTTAGGCTTTTAATCCGTATAATATAAAAGTTTTTTGAGGTGGTAAGTTGTTTAATCATGGCTGACAAGATCGTTCGTGGGTTAAACATTTAATATCCAATACGAAAAATATAATTCTTAAATAATGATAAAATTAACGATTACAAACACAGAAACAAATGTTTAGATCTTTTTTGTTGCTCACCTCAACCCTTTTCAGTTAAGAAAATAAATAAAGCAGTTAAAACTCACTAACAATTGATCAATTGAAACATTAGCAAGTTAATTAATAACTTTATTCTTCTTCTGTGTCCTTCCTTATATGACCAGGTCAGGAACTAAAATGAAGAATTCGATAGTCCTCCTCAGGCCCTCCACGCTTCCGTATATCTTTCTTTCCACTTCAGTTGGAGACGACAAGATCACTCTCCTTTGCTGAGAGTAGGTCCTGCACATTTACAGTATATGCTCCACATTCTGTTCACACTCAGGCACTGACAGAGGGGACTGGAGCCAATTTAGAACTTTCTGAACTGGTGTGCTTTGAGCCTGTTGTGCCCCATTCGCAAGCCAAAGATTAAGACCTGCTCTTTTCGATTCAGTAGGAACTCAGGGGTCATGATGTGGGTGACTTCTGAGCAAACGTTGGTTAATATTAGCTTTATTAATGGTTTTAACCTCATCTATGCTGATCTTACAGTCAAACTGTGGACTCGAAGTCCCCTCCTTCGACAGCCGATTTGCCCTTTCGTTTCCAGAGAGACCGCGTTGTACAGGGATCCATTGCATTACAACTTTCTTGTGAAAGGACATCAAATGTTCAAGATCTTCGGCGAGTTTTCTCAGGCTTTTGCTCCACTTGGGACCTGAAGTTATCTATTTATTATAAGAATAAAGCAAAATACTAACAATCAAATCGTCATATTCATTAAATGATGTTTTTAAAAACTTCCAACAGGGCTTCTCAGGTTCCTTGTATGATGCTTCAAAGTGATAACGGGGCCTGCGAGTACTAAAGTGGATACTCATGCATGTTTCTTTGTTGGTTGAACATCGTAGATTAACCATAAGCCGTTCTTCAACGCTGATTGGGTTTCTTAAATTTTTCATTTCCTATCATATAAAAAGAGTTTTAAGGTTGCGAATTTTGATGAAATTTCTTTAACTCATGAAGACTAGTCTACAGTTTAACCCACAATCGTATTTTTTTTTTTTTTTTTAACTTTTGAAGCCACTGTGTCGTCTACACAAGCTATAACAACCGCTATTTCATTCATAGTTGCAACTACACTAAACCTCTATAAAACATTTCCTTATTTTTAGTGTAGTATCAGTATTTTGAGGTTTTTCTTTCATTTTCGATGCTGAAATATTGACACATTTCTTTTGTGTACAACCTATATTCAAATGCTTATAAAAGATCTTGATAAAAAAACTTTGATACTGTAATGCCAGCCTAAGAACAGTACCAAGGATAAAATTAATTGGTGGATTTGACTGTTCAAATCAAATTTGAAAAAAAAAATCGGGTTGTTAAATTCATTTCACTTTTGATGTCGTTACTTCACCCTTAATGAAAATAGTGTATTTTAGGATTATTATTATTATTGAACTTTAGAGGTAAATTAAAAACTTTGGATAAGCCGCCTAAGAAGTTTTGAAATCCGATCAAACAATTCCGCTAAAAACCTTATTCTAGTTCCTCACCGTTTATGAAACGCACTGGAGTAGGATTTCTATATATACAACCCTAGCACACATTCAGCTGCGCCCGGTTCATGCTGATGATTTTTAAACTTTAGGAATCCAATTAATAAAGCAACTGATATAGAGCCATATTAAAAGGAATACAATCCAAATATAAAGTGATTTCATGTTTTTCCTTCAAGTCAATTCATCCTTCTAAATTTTATTTTTTTGGTGGAAGGGGGAAGAGGGGACACCAGCTGTCTAATATATAACTCAATAATTTAATGAAAACAGGTTTCAACTTCAAAAAAAGGTGCCCATCCACCTAACAATGAGAAGATCCATGCTCATAAACACTAGTGGATCCAGGATTTAATTTGGGGGAGGAGCTTTCAGCTCGAAAGATTTTTTTTTTTCAAATATATAACGATAATTAATTTGAAAAAAAAAAAGAAAGAAATTAACTACCTATATGAAATGGTGTTTAAATGAACCTTGAAGTCCTATTAAATGTAATTACGCGAACAGTAATACTTTAAGAGATAATTTTTAATATATTTTCCTTTAAAAGCTGGTTATATTTTACCGTTTTGGGAGGGCTTCGGCCCGAAAGCCTCCCTCCCCCCCCTCCCCTCCCATAGATCCGCTTGTGCTCATAAAGGAATGTTTGTACCCTAGAAAGTACATACACATATATTTATACATATAAACGCACATAGAGAATTAGGTAGGTGCCTCACACCTCATAGAAAAGGTGTTTATTAGTGGCTGGGCCATTTTTAATATTAATATCGATTACCACTAATAAAAATCTTATTCCCTCTTTAAAAATTTTAATATAATTGAATTTTTTTCTATTTCTATTTTATTTTATTTAATATTAATAAAATTAAATAAAAATAATTAATTTCTAGTCGATAATTTATATTTGTAGTTTCATTATAATTTTTTTTTCCAAAATAAAATTTGTGTCTCAACACTGTTGAAGCCGAAGGTTCAGAACGCGTGTTGTTGGGAGCCCGGCATTCAATTTAGTTCAGTCTCAGGGTTGTCACGTGGGTTTGAACAGTTCACAGCATGGGGAAGCCAGGTAAATGTTATATTTAATTTAATATTTCTGTTTTTAAGTGATAGTTACTGATGATAACATGACTGTTGTTTTATACAAGCTGTTATTACTCTTATTTATAGTGAAATTTGCATTTTAGTAGTTGATTGGAAGGAAACCTCACCAAGTAAACAATACTTTTCAAATCCTGAAATTGATCATTTCTTGGGATTACAATTTAATATTAACTATATGTGACTATATTTAATTAAAACATTAATATTCTTTTGTGTAAATATTTAGTCAATAATATTTAATGTTAATTTTTGTTTAGTGTTGGATACAGTTTGTTATTTTAATATTTGTTTGTTTGGGTATATTAAAACTGCATTTTTTAGTCATTGTTTAAGTAGTCTATTGTTGAGTGTTCTGCCCTGAAATGCCAGGACCAAATTTAACAACCTTTTTGCTGAATTTAACAACCCTTCCATGTGCTTTACTCATGACAGGTGCCAATTAAGATACAAAGAGAAATAAAGTATAATTAGTTTGTTACCTAAAAATATGAAACTAAATTAGCTTGTTTAGGTAAACTTCAATGGTGTGATGGTAAATTTTACACCATGTTTGATTTTTTTTTTAATTTAATGTGTATTAGAATGTATTAAATATTATTTTTTATTGATTTGAATAAATTCAAAAGGGGTATTTTATGAGTCTTAATATTAAAACATGCTCTCTTTTCTATACAGCTCTCGCTGCAATTTGATTGATTTAAATATTATTTACTGCTCCGTCTATTAATTATTGTTGCCTTTGTTTACATTTTGTAAGATTTTCTAACATTTGAGGCACTGTTATAATTTGTGTTAATTAACATAATGAAAACTCCAACCAAATTTTTATTTATTTATTTATTCAGAAATATTACAATCTGTCACAATTAAGGACATTTATAATAGTGTTCAGAGAGCACATTCATGCTCTATTTACAATAAATAAAAATAAATAATACAGAAACTAATAATAATGAAATTAAATTATTTAAACAAAAGAATTAAACTAATCAAAGTAACAACTATAATATGTGCATATTATTTAATTCAACAATATTAAATTTTTTTGGGGTAACAATGTTTTACCCGTAAGGCACTTACCATAGCTATATTCCACCATGTTTTTAAAAAAAAATTTCTTATAATTTATTAACAACCAGAGAAATCAGTTTTAAAGGATCCACTAACACTATTGTATTATTCATTTTCTTCAATTCTATGATTTTGTTTTTCCAGATTTTGGAGGTGACAGACGTGGTGGAGGTGGACGTGGAGGCCGAGGAGGATTTGGAGGAAGAGGAGGTGGTAGAGGAGGAGGCGGTAGGGGTGGTGGAGGAGGACCAAGAAATAGTTTTGGCGGAGGAAGGGGGCGAGGTGGAAGACCTAGCGGTGGTAGAGGAGGAGGAGGAGGAAGGGGCGGACGTCCTAGTGGAGGTGAGTGATTTACTTTTTATTACTATTTTACATGTGTTTTAAAAAAAGATTTTGGTTTACCGATTATTAGATCAATGATCTTAACTAATTCATCTAAACGTTAATAATTATTGTCTTTAAAAAATCTAATGCTATATTTTTGTATGGTAATTAATTTGGAAGAATTAATTTTCTCTTAAATAAATAAAGTTTTATTTATTAATTTTAATACTTTCGGACAGAGATTATTATGATAGATCTTGGGGCTTATAAATAGATTTAAAGTTGTAGATGTTCTTGATATAAATTGCCCAAGATAGGCAGAGATGGAGGAGACTGATTAAAGTGGCAAAAGATGATCTACACGGCCTGCTAGGTAAACGGTAAAGCCAACACACTCTTAAAAAAGATGTCCTTGGATGTATACATATATATTAATGTCCTTACAACAGGTTTTCTGATTAAACTGCTTCATAATATAATAAGAAAATTTTTAGTAAATTTAATGAGCGATGGAACATAAATCGTTTTTTGTCAAAGCTTTTAATTATTGCACCAAATGTGTTCATGACAATGTATTGCTCATTTATTTTAAAGAGGGTTGTTTAATAATTTTAAATTATAAAAAATTAGTTCTTTAACTTCTTTTAAGTTTATTATTGAATCCATGATTTATAATACCAACATTATTCTGATGAAGTATTGGTTTTAAGCAGGCTTATCCTTGATTTAATATTTTATACTAACTAGAAGATAAAAATGTAATGTTCCTGTTTCATTTTCATTATTTAAATTTTTAACAGCTGTAGATAATTAGTTAATATGATTGCTTTATTAATGTGATAATATTCTATTCAATTGAGTGTAAATTTAAAGCAATGACAATACCAATTCCAGAAGAAGTTGTAAAACATGTTAGAGGTAAGCATGGGATATAAATTTTTTGGGCTTGCCTTCGTGGTCTGTAGTTGTTCGTCATAGTATTAGTTATAAGGCCTCTTGAGGATAAGTAAGTTTGTTAAAAAGAACACTATCATGAACAATTTACAATAAATAAGCTGCTAATAGCAGCAGTTCTAAACACTGTGACCTATCATTGTAATGTGGTGAAGGATAAAGAAGGAAAGAATAGGATCATTGTATATGAAAGAGGAATAGAAATATTTAATGAGAGTCGGCCATAGTAGCCATATTGTCTGATGTGTTATTGATGGATGCTAATATGGATCTCGTATTAACTATAAGACATTGTAGAAATATTGTCCTTAAATCATTGTTATATTGAGAACCCACATATGGATACATTCCATGTAACAATTTCCTGGGCTGCTTGTCTCCTAGTTCTAATTGAGTTAGAAGTTAAGTTGCTTTCTGTCCTAACTTTTACGACTCTCCTTTGTAACTTTCCAGTTAGATATTTGTATGGAGCAGCTGAAAGTTCCTTACATAAAAAATCTAAAATAAATTCTTTAACTGCAGAACCTGATGATGTTTAAACATTATTAAATTATGTTAACTCTAATACTATATCACATTTAAAAGATTTATCTTCCACTTGCATTCTCAACATTTTATATGTTTGTGCCAGAGTGGTAAAACTTTTTAATTGATACCCTATAGATTTCATAACTTCTTCAGATATTACTTTTTTTTTTTTACACTAGCTATTTTTGTGACCTTTGAACCATTGATATGGAATTTAAAATAACACTTCTTTAAATTTTGTAAATTGTTATTGTTTCTTAAAAATAAATGTTGCAATAATTTATCGTAGCTGTAAAAATCACTTCAATATTTTTGTTATTAGATGAGTATAATAATACACCTAGTTAAACAATGCATTTATCATAGGTTTGTAAATTAAAAAAAAAAAAACTCATGAAGCAATACTTTATTTTTTAACAGGCTTTAAAGGTGGCTCAAAAGTTATTATTGAACCCCATCGTCATCCTGGAGTGTTCATTGCACGAGGTAAAGAAGATGCCTTAGTTACTCTGAATATGGCACCTGGTGATGCAGTCTATGGAGAAAAAAGAATATCTGTTGAGGTGAGATTTATTCTATATACATTAAATATTATTTATTGTTCATTTTCTAATTTACTTCAACGTATTTATGTGTAATATTTTTTCAAGAGTAATAGTAATGTTAATTATTTTATTTTTTTCCAAAAAATATTTGTGAAACAGCTGGAAAAAAAATCTTTGCTTTTCATCTTATGTAAATTATACCAAATTTAATTATATTAAAAAGTTTTAAAAGCATTCTGTAATATTATCGATTGGGCTGTATATGCTCATGGATTAGATTTGAATTTATTCCAATAATTTGTAAAATTCTATTTCTATCTACTAATTTGTCTCTGGTCAGGACCAATGAAAGGAAGAATTGGTTAATCAGTAGTGTTTTTATGAAATGAAAACTCAAATATTAACGTATGTGTCAGTTGGGAAATTCTAAGGATATTTCAGGGATTTCGTTTGGTTGGATTAAAATTGGAAATTCTACAGTAAGTTTTGCGGAAGTTGGAAAAGTCAACATAAGTTTCACATTTTAATATGTTCCTTTTATTCCAACTCTAGAATAGTCAATTATGGCAGTTAAAAAAATTAAAGAGACTTTTTGTTAAAATTTTTAGCAAAACAAACAGATACGTATTTAAGGATTTATAATTTTCTAAGCAATTTTTGCTCTTATATATTTAGTTTTTTCCATTATCCAATTTGGAATTTGAAATTAATAATTAACAATTTAACTAATTGGTTAAATTGTAAATGTCAATTTATTTTTAAGTCCATTACGTTTTTATTTTATTTTTTTTATATTTTTACTGGAGTTATTATAATTAAAATTAATATTTCAGAATGATGGAGAGAAGATTGAATACAGAGTATGGAATCCATTCAGATCGAAGTTAGCTGCTGCTATTTTAGGTGGAATTGATCAGATCCACATTCCTCCTGGTTCCAAAGTCCTTTACCTGGGTGCAGCATCTGGAACAACCGTGTCTCACGTCTCCGATATAGTTGGACCTGTATGTATCAAATTATATCCTACACTAAATTCATATGTGTTATGTTAAGTTTTCCAGTTGAAGTTGCTCTATCCAGTTTTCCAAACCTTTACAACCAAAAAATCTACTTACATTGATTTGATTACTTCTTGTTCCTCTGTCCATTCTATAAACACGAGATTCTAGCCCACAAACCTGTATATTCCTTCTCCTAGAAATGCTGCTTTAAAAAAATCTTTTATATGCTTGCTATGTTGTTTTCGAATTCCTTTCCCCACTCTATATGCTATACCTCCTCTTTAACTTCATTTAAACATTAATTAGTTTTCTATCTGCTCAGCAATCAATCTTCAGAATTTACCATTACCTCACTGCTATCTATTTATGTTGCTTATTAGTACAATTACTTAAAGTAGTGTATTATGGGAAAACCATAATTTAAACAGAAAATCCTCATGTGGAAAATTTAGGTCTTTAATGTTTGAACTAAGAATATTACAACAATAAATAAGCATGAGCATAGCTGAAGGAAATAACCTACTAATGTTGTAAATTTCATTTTAATGGAATTTAAGATTTATCTTATGGATTAAGATAATCTCTTGGCAGGAACTGTTTATATATAAAATTATGAGTTCAACAAATTAATTGTTACCTAGGTTTTAACCATGGGAAGGGAAGGGGTACTACCTTATGTGTAGGGAAAGAAAGGAAGTTTTAAGAAAATTTTTTTTTTTTCAGAAGGTAACCGTTTGCCTCAGGTCAAGAATCATGATCTAAATAGGATGTGGGGGCAAGTAACTGTTTCATGTGAAACTGGGAGATTAAAAATTAAGAGCACATTCTTGTCTCAAATGATTAGACAATAGGTTTTCATTGTGTACCTGCAATGGCTTGATAGATAGTGCCACGATGCAAGTGTCCTTGACAAAAAAAAAAAACTTTAATAATTCTAGATTTTTAGGCCTGAAGTACTTTGTCAAACTGAAATTAGTAATTAATAATCTTATGTTATAGACATATGCCCTAAATCAGTTTGTGTTTATTTGTATTATAAAACAATTTTGTATTTCTTTTGTTTCACAGGAAGGACTTGTATATGCTGTAGAATTTTCACACAGATCTGGCAGAGATTTGTTAGGAGTAGCTAAAAAAAGGACCAATATCATTCCAATTATCGAAGACGCAAGGCATCCCCACAAATACAGGATGTTAATAGGAATGGTGGATTGTATATTTGCTGATGTAGCTCAACCTGATCAAGCAAGAATAGTTGCAATCAATGCCCACAGTTATCTGAAGAACGGTGGTCATTTTGTGATCTCCATTAAGGTACTTGTTTTTGCTATCAATATTTTTTCTTCATTTCTATATTTCAACACTGCAATCGTCTATTCTGGAATCAAAGTACTCACTGTCTGTATAGATACAACTTTTCCAACTAGAAATATCACTAAAATTGCATTACTCAAAAATGTTAAAAGTGGAGTTAGTTTGTCAACTCAATGGCTCAGAATCTGAATTTGTGTGGTTTATAAAGGCAAATGGAGTTACTAGATTTTTATTGCCTACCGTGGTTATTATAAATAGCTTTGTGTTATTTTAATGGTCTTAATGATTTGTTACCTGTAAGCTTTAGCTCTGTTTAAAATGTACTTCAATTTTTTTATAATAGTCCAACATTGCCAGAAAATAATTTCTATTCAAAGTAGAGCAATAAGTAAAAGTTGTGTCTTGCACACCAGATTTTTTTAATTCTTTCAGTAATATTTCTTATGACTTATATCAATCAGTAATAAATTTAAATAAGTAGATCAGAATATAAATAGGACTAGAAATTAATTTAATAGCTTTTATTGCTCTAATTTCAAAGTCTGATGTATTCTATCCTATATTAATCTAAGTGTAATTTCTATTTGTATTTGTTTGCATCCCTTACAATTTTTATATTTCTTGCTATGTTTTCAGGCTAACTGTATAGATTCAACAGCTCAGCCTGAAGCAGTTTTTGCTGGAGAAGTGAAGAAACTACAAGCAGAAAAACTTAAACCGCAAGAACAATTGACATTAGAACCTTATGAAAGAGATCATGCGGTGGTTGTTGGAATTTACAGGCCTCCACCTAAAAAAGCATGATACCAAGAACCTTTTTTTTTTTTTTTTGTTAATGATTTTATATGTATAGCTGTTATATTATAACTGAATTAAATTTGAATAATTATAGTCTCATAACTTGTCTTCTTTGTAATTTAATCTCCCTAAATGTCCTCTCTGTATTCTTACTTCTGGGGCAACATTGTGTCTCAACTGTTTATACTTATCTGTTCTATTTTGATCTTGGGCTGTAGATGCTGTTATAGCAGCATCAATACTGTACCTTTATTGAAAGTTGAAATAATCATTTGTCTATTTGAAGGAAATAGAAGTCTTCTAAGAAATTAAAATTAAACATGTATTTTTTTTTAACCTATCAAAAGTGGAAGTACCACTGTATTGCCAAATTATCACTATTGACATTTACCTATTAATTAAATTAGTTGGTAGTAAGAATTCTTAGGATTTCTCAAAAGTGTATACAAATGCAAGGTCACTCATATACTTTACCTGAGCAAATACCAAATGATTAATTAACCAAAACAGAATTGTATATCTATCACAAAATACAAAAAAAAAAAAAATAGTGAATGGAACACCAATTGATAAATTTAGATATTTAGACATTTTCTTTCTTTCTAGACCTTCCATATTTTTTTTTTTTTATTGATGATATTTACAACTATATTACAAGTAAAAATACATTCAGTAAATGTGAACAAAGGAATAAAATAGCATGAAATCACATGTTGAGAAACTACCCATTGGTAGCACTCTAAAAATGTATTTACAAAAGGCGATCTCGAGGCCATCTTCTTTTCAGACGCCTCGGAGGGTCTTTCATATTTAAGTAAGAAATAAAGCTGATAGTAAAGACCAGCCATGGAAAAAGGTATATTACACTAGAAACAGATTGTGAAGGGTATAAGAGGGAAGGAGATGAAATTGACTGAAGAATTAATGAAAGCCCAAAATAAGCCTTACAGAGACAAAAGGAAAGGAGCAAATTGGGTATTATGTCATAATGTACTCCAGAATAAACTATCAGAAGTATGCAAGAGGTGGATAAGGCTACATAATCCACGAAGAATTACCTGAAAACATTCTGAATTAAAAAGCCATTAATTTAAAATGCATGACTGCAACTAAAACTTGAGCACAGAGAATACACATTAATTATAATTTTTGGTCCCAATGACATTGCCAGTGCTAGAGAAAAAGAAACTTTCTTCGAAGACTAGTATGCAGAAGATACTAAAGGAAACCCTATTATTATGGGCGACCTTAATGGTAGAATTGGTGGAGACTTCAAGGGATGCCATGAAAGGATTTTGGATCTCTGCTTGCCAAATGGCATAATTGTGGCACAGCTTTTTATTCCACAAGGAAATTCACAAAATCATGAGAACTGAACACTTGGAATGAAAAATCAATTATAGATTACTTTCTGATCCCAAAGGAGGAACTAAAGAGAACATGGGATGTCAAGAGAGGATCCAAATTGGAAATAGACCATGTGCTACTGAGAATGGAAATTGTTCTTGACAACCTATCTATAAGGAGGAAAAGATCAGGCCACACTAAGAAAATTAAGATAAACTGCTTGCTACAAGCTTAAATAAGAAGAATTAGTTCAATCATATAAAATAGCAGTAGAAGAAAATGCGGCTAAAAATAAATAGTTCTAAGACTCCGAATAAATTTTAAGCTGGTAGGCAATAAAACAGATGGTTGCAGCAGAGGTCTGTGGGAAAACCAAAGTAGGCCAGAGACTAAAAAGTATAGCCTGGAAACGTTACTAATAAAAAGCCCCGAGGACAATACAAAGTATAAAGGAAAAAGTCATGAAATCAAAAAGGAAAATTTGGGAGAATTATGGAAACAAGTTGGAGAAAGGTGCCCATGGAAATCATAAGCTCTTATATAGATGTCTACGAAACATATGCAAAGAGAAGGAGCCTGTCAAAACATGACAAAGACAAAGAAGGCAATATTCTCACTAATAGTGAGGAAGTAATTAATATATATATATATGGGTTGAATATTTTAAAGAAGTCCTTAATGATAATATGAGGCAACAGAAGAAAATATCCACGTCAATGGAGAAGAGCATTTCATAGAAAAGCAAATCGCAGATGCTATAGATATCCTAAAAATGGGTAAATCAGCAGGTATATATGCCATTAACCCAGAGGTGATGAAGAACATGGGACCAAAAGGCCAGGTAATATTTCAACACCTAAACTTAGTGTAGACAAGAAAAGAGGCTCCCAAGGATTGGGAAATATCGTCGTAGTCCCAATACACAAGAACTGACTATAGAGACTGCCATAACCACCAAGGTATCTCATTATTCAGTGTACCTTGCTTGCAATGTTTACTCTAAAATCCTGGAAAAACATCTAAGGGGATTCATCGCGAGCATTCTAAAAGGGGAACAATATGGATTGAGGCTGCACACATAAGAACTAATATTTGTGATGAGGCAGCTCTCCAAAAAGAGAGGTAATAATGATAAAGTGTGTTAGAGTGTTGCCTGTTTTAACATTCACGTGTCTAACGATGCCGGTTCGAATCCAGTTTGGGTGGTGTTGACTTTAATTTTGTGGTGGACGCATGGAATGAAACAACCTTCCCATTCTGGCTAGAATAGATTTGGTTGTATCGCTACAACAAACCCTCTCCCCGTATGCGAGAAATGGTGGATAGAGGATAATCAATAAAAAAAAGAAGAAAAAAAAAGCTCTCCAAACAGGGCTTGGAAAAGAACAAGCCATTTATACATGCTTTGTGGACCTGAGGCAAGCATTCGATAGGGTCAGGAAGACCGATATAACCAAAGCTCTGAAAAAACAGAATGTCGAAACAAGAATGGCAAGGGCTATCCTGAGTTTTTATAAAAGACAAAGAAACATGGCGAGAACTAACAACCACTCATATAAGGAGTTCAAGGGCACCCAAGGAATAAGGCAGGGCTATAATCTTATACCGCTACTGTTTACAATGGCTCTTAAAAAGGGCAAAGACAAGAAAGGCCATTTTGGCTGGGCTACAGAGAATTAACTCCAGTTTACCAAACACTTCTTGCCTATGCTGATGACCTAGTTTTATTCGGGAATAATGGAAGAAATCTACAATTCAACCTCAGAATCCTACATGAAGAATTTCAATTTTTAAACATGGAGATTAACACCAGCAAAACAAAAGTAATGAGGATAGGAAGAGAGTGCATTATTGGCAGGAAAATGTTTCTATTCACTCAAGTCTGGTTTCTTGGGAAAGAAAGAAGTTTCTAAAAAGGTTAAAAAAGTGTTATATAAGATAACACTTGTACCCCTACTGACCTACGCCAGTGAATCTTGGACTCTGACATTAAGACATAGGAGCCAAATACAAGTGCTGGAGATGTGAGGTACTTGAGGAGGATAGAACGAAAAACAAGAAGAGATAGCATCAGAAATACCTCTCTTGATTAGTTATTAGAAACGTGAAGGTAACTTGATGTTCCATAACTTAAAAAAAAATGATAAAAACAAATCTATTCAGTATTCTTAAATTATTAGTGGTAAAAAGAATATGAAATAATAATCTTCCACCTGACACAATTTTTTGGTTTAATTTTATCATTTGTGTTCCATAAATTTCCTCACCTGATTAATGTTCTACAAATTGTGATCATTCATTTATTCAATTTGCCTGCTCACCGAGCCAAAGAAAATAATTTAAATGACTAATGACAAAATGACTAACAGTGAAAAAATAAAACAACGAAGGTGGATTTTCTCTGAGGAGTGAAAAATTACATTAAGTAAAGATTGTTTACAACTCCAACAACGAAAACTGTCAATGAAGGGAACAGGGCGGTAGCTGTGGGGGAAACTAAGGCAGCATGACTGGAATGTTTATATATAAACACTACTCAACTTCATGCCCATTTCCACCGAAGTAGGCTGAATATAAACCATGGATTAGTTTTGAATTTCTTCTTGCATTAATTTTTTAATTTACTGTGGTGTTTTTTATAATGAAGGATAAATGTCAGTGAAACTAGCTGTAACTACACAGGCTAGTTACTGAAAGTGCTATGAGGGATAAATTATTTTTTTTCCTACAAAAAAAAAAATTGACAAAAATCAAAAAGATTTTGGAATTATAGTTATCTTTTAGGTTTATTAACCCAAAAAACCCTTAAGCCTGCAACTTAAGGAATATAATGTTCATTTTGATTATTTAACTTTAATGTAGTTTAATCTAATATAGCTCAATCTTTAATTTATCTTTTTAATATAGATCTGGAAGTTATTATAGCAGAATAAATCCTGGAGGAACTGTCTACAGTCATTTATCTCAACATCCAGCATATGATGATGATGTCATTACCTCTAGAACTCAAGCAGCATTATCAGGAACATTCCAAAAATTGGAAGAGGGAGAAGATAACCTGGTTCTTAGAGTAAAAGAAAGTAAGATAATTTATATGAAAAGTGCAAAAAGGGAAAAGAAAGTGAATAGGGAAATAATTTTCAGAGATCTCAGCTTTCAGTCTGTAAGCCAGTTCAAGTACCTGGGAAGTCTTGTTAGATATGACTACAAAGTAGGGTGTGAAATAAAGGCCAGTGGTTATGTATGGATGTGAGACATGGACCTTAACCAAAAAATCAGAAAGCATGAACATATGAATAGAAAGCATGACGAAATCAGAATAAAATGAAAAAATCAGAAAGCATGAACCCAATATCGAGGCAATGATAAAAAAAGCATGAATAAGATGGATAGGACACATGGAAAGAATGTCTATGAGAAACCGGATGGCAAAAGAAGTAGAGGACGCCCTTGGCTGGAGGATGATCTGAGGCGGCTGGGTGTTCATAGATGGAGGGAGGTAGCACTGGACCATGCAGATTGGTTAGCTGTAGCGGAGGAGCCCCGGGTTCTTTCAGGACTGTAGTGTCATTGTAATAATCTTTAATTTAACAATGAAAGTTTTTCAATAGACCACATTTCTAAATTGGCTTATTATGAAGATGTAATTATTTCATTAGTTTTTTAATATGACTGCCAGCTATGAGATACATTTTTGTTTACATTATTGCCAAGTAATGCCAATTACAAGTTATCTTAGTTCTTTTATTTGCCATAATTTGATTAAATTGGCTTTTTTCACCAGAATCCTGAATAGTATCATTATATCAGTATTGATAGGGACATAACATCTATTTAATTGTTGAAATAGATGAATAATATCTTGAGATTTGGAATCAAATGAAATGCTAGATTACCACAGAACTTACTAATCTAGTAAGGATTCATTATATATTCTCGCTCACTCTCACACTATCTCTCTCCCTCTATATATGTATATATATATATATATTTTTTTTTTTTCAGTTTGTGCTACATTGTCCATATAGATCTTTGCTTGTGTAATGCCAAAGATCTTTTCTTCTTGCAGTTGTTTTACTTTGAGGAACATAGAAAGCCTTGAGGTAGTCACCCAATCTCATGTTACTTACTATACCCATGGTATCCAAGTTGCAGCAGCACCTACCCTCAGTTACATAGTCAATTCCTTATGAGCCAATGTGCAAGTGTTCTTCCCACCGACTCACTCGGGTTCAAGGACAATGACTAATTATTCTAGATCCATAGAATTTTGTTGTTCAGAGTCAGCAGGCATATGAGGACCTGTGTTTCCATCTCTGAAACAGACCATCTATGAACGAAACCTCAGTGGGGCTATAGACATCCAGGAAAATCAAATTGAGACTCTCTATTAAAGGACATAAGATTGGGTCATCCCAAATTAAAATGTAAACAGTACATTTCTGTCGTTAAGTTCATAGTTTGACTCATTTTCGTTTGAAAAAACATATCAAGCGTGACTTTAATTGTTTCATTAATCCTTACCTTAGGAAACAATTAAATTTTAAAATCAATGGAGCTATATTAGATTAAATTGTATTATATTAGATTAAGCTACATTAAAGTTAAATAATCAAAATGAACATTATATTCCTTACGTTGCAGGCTTAAGGGTTTTTTGGGTTAATAAACCTAAAAGATAACTATAATTCCAAAATCTTTTTGATTTTTGTCGATTTTTTTTTTTAAAACACTTATTTAGAAAACATTAAAGCCACACTGTTATGAGAAAAAATTACAAAGTGTTAGCTATCCTTGATGGTCTTTACTTATTAATCACTCAAAAAAGTGTTTAGTTGGATAATATGTAACTCTATATGAAGTTACCAGGTTTTCTTGAAATATGATACTTATTTAATTTCACGAAACATAATAAATATAGAATCAAAATTCATTATTTTGTGGGAAAAAATTTCTCCGACCATAATTTAGAAATATAAGCAGGTTAACAGCCAGAGGGCCCTTAAATGCTCAGCAACAGGCCAAAAGATGGTTCAGGAAATAACATAACTTGTGACATTCGGTTAGTTCACCAGTGTTGAGTTATTACTGGGTTTCAAGCAAAAAGAATGTCATTTCTTGGCACTTTGTGAACTGTGAACTCTCTCCTGAATTCATAAAAAATGAACAAGAGCTATAAGTAGTAAAATTTAGTAATTGAGGTACATTTATATCACATGTATTAAAAAAAAAAAAAAAACAAGAAAACAAAACATGTTCTTGGTTTTGAGCTAGCACAATGACAAAGTTGAAGAAAAAACAGAAGTAATTTTAGAATATAGTTAATTTCAATAGGTTGTACATATCATACATTTTTTTTTTTTAAAGTTCTAAATTGCTAATGAATACCACTAGTATAAATTTAGAAGTACTAATGCACACAGCTTCTTCAAGTCTGGATGTTCCTTGACTTCCTGAGTAATCCTCCATTTCCCAATGCCCTACATCCCATTCATTCAGTTGTGGAAACCAAACTTCTTTAAATTCTTCTATACCTCATTTCACCATTTGCTTTTCACTACCGGGGATATGATAGTGGTACTCTCTTATTGCCCAAGGTATTCTTTATATCTCCCATAATTATGTAACTCATATAGTTTTTTTTTGAAAAAAAAAATCAAAGGATAGTGTAGGTAAAAAGTAATCGTTGAATTTTGATTTCAGTGTGCAATGATTTCCTGCTAAACCTGTCTTATGGACTACTGCCTTAACAGAATGCTTGGTTAGATAGAATTTTGATGATTAAAATGAAATCAATATATTTTTAATATGGATAGGGTATCAACAAACATATCTTTACTCTTTGTCAGACAGAAGCAGTTTAACTGTATTTGACAATTTTCTGATACATTAAAAAAAGAAAAGAAAACATGAAATAAATTTTCCATTATTAGTTAGCAAACTGACAGTAGATATATAAATGTCTTCTTCTTTTTTTTTTAAATATTAAAAACTTAGTTTGTGCTCATTAATATACATTTCTACATTATATTAACAAAAAAAAAAAATTATATTTGGTTAATATTGGTCCTAAATATTCAACAAGTCATATGCTAAAATCCTACCATATATTACTTATTACATTTTCATAGTTAATTATGTTATAATACACATTGTTTTTTATAATGGTAATCCTACATTTATTACACTTAGGTTGGCACTGATTTTCTTTTACAATGCACTTATTCATGTATTGAATATATTTATACTTACTGACAGATTCAATTCAATGTCCAGCATATTTCTACTTATCTACAATCAGTCTACTGTATAGGACGATACATTTCAGTTTCCATCAATCTAGCCTATTTTTCATATAAAAGCACACAGCATGTATAACATCTATACAATGAATTTTCTAATCTTTCATGATGTAACTATATTCTAAGCTAAAACAGAAGACTAAAGTAATAAACTGAAGCTTCAAATTACTTAAAAATAAAATAAAGATATTACAGAAAAAATATAGTTTTAAAAAAATATTCTTAATATATAGTGTGCAATGTAATGTGCTCCCTTAATGAAATATTTCAAATGCTTTGACAAACTATACAATGTCAGAATTATTTATAAAACTATCTTTTTCAAAATACAATATTTAATGTACAATCATTTTTACATTTAGAGTGTTTCGATTTGTTTTTCTTTTTATGAGCCAAATGAGTAAAAGTGCAAAACTTTGAGCGATAGATTTTTGCAGTCCTATAAATCTAAAAAGACTTACAAATATGGTGTATAAGATTTATACACCCTTCATTAAATTCAAGTTCCATTATTTATTTAGAATATTATATAGACAACAAGTATTTACAAGAATAACATTAAGTCTGGCTAGGATTTAAGAAATATGATGTATATATACAATTTTTGTGTTACAAAATATACAATATAAGAACTCATGTTTACAAGGTGATGGTTAGGTATCTTTAAAACTTTACATACTTTAATCTCACATATCAATTAAATTTTAAAGTAAATAGAGCATCAATTAATCTGAATCAGTAGAATTTGAGCACCCTTAATTTTTTTTTATTTTAATAAATTAATCAATTATATTGATTATTATAGATAGCTTTGAGAATATTAAAAATGATAAAATAAGTAAAAGTTGTTATTAATAAACATGAAGAGGTCTCTCTATCTCCATGAAGAATAGAATGTTTCATATGTACAGAGATGATATACTGATTTGTTCAAACAAAATAATGGCAACATAAGTACAAAAAACAGACAAATTCACCTTACCTACTGACAAAATCCGGGCTTCAATTACTCATAAGTTTTATTTACATATACAATCTATTTAAAACAACTGAAAATAAAATGACAATGACAAATCTTAAAATATCACATTTACACTCAGACACAAAATATATCTCCAATTTATATGAACCTATTCAAAAGAATTTACATTAAATTATTTAAAACTGATTTTTAATGTGAATGTGACCTAAGAAGACAAGTGAGACATAAGTGCTATTGTATAAAGATATGACAATTTTTCAAATTTTATATGAACAAATTTTCAGGACTGCTAAATATAAACTTTGGAATATATTGACAATAATATAATATACTCCATGAATATATTAGTTACAAAACATTAGAGACTTATGCATACCTGTAGTACTACATTCTCACTTCATTCCATAAATAATATAATTTATCAATAAACATGTTTGGTTTTTCCAAGGAAGGATAAAAAGAAATGGCTTAAGGAATTGGTTTATTAAAAAGAAATTAGAAATTTTTGTATATATATTTCTTTATGTTTTTATATTTTGTTTTATTGTATTTTGTGTAGTAAATAAATTCCTGGGGGTAGGGGGAAAAAAAAGTTGGTTTAGTAAAATCCTATTCAATTCAAATTCAAAAGAATTGGTGGAGTGTTTACTAATGAGATCTAATGCTGGATGTGCCAATTACATTCATATTACTTCTGTTTATTGTGTGGAATGTACAAGTATTTAAAAAAAAAAATTAAGTTTAATTAATGCTCTAATACGTATACTAAGCCTATATAACTTTTTTGCTTTTCCTTAAAGTATGATATATTTTAATTTGTTTGAAGAATAATAAAATTGGAGGTCATCTCTCTTACCATAAAATATATCAATATAAAAATTTTCCTTCTAGAAATCTTAAGTTTATTAAAGCCATAGATATTATTAAATGCCATAGCTGCAATAATAATATTAATTACTAAATTTTATCTTCATTCAATGGTCAAATATGAATTGTATGTACATTAATTCTATTAGTGTCTGGAGAATAAGTGGTTACTGTTGAAGATGAAGTTGCAAACCATTAACTACAGTACATTCTTGTTAAATAATATCATGATTGTTTAAAATATATCTAATAGTAAAATAATGCTGTACAATCTGCAATATAACAGTCCAGCAGGTGGAGATAAGCCAAACAAGATACCTTAGGTGATTTGCCGTTGAAATGCATCACTACAAAATTCTGGTTGAAAACAAAATAAATCAGTACTTCTGATTTTTTTATATCAAAGATTGTACTTATAGAAATAAATAAATCAACGCAGCCAATTGAATGAAAAATAGAATATTTTATCAATATTAAATACATCACCAAAACATATACCACTATAATCCATGAAAAGTCTTGGAGTTAGTACTTTGCAAGGAAGTGGGGTTATAAAGGAGGTGGTTGATCTTTATGATCAAATTGCAGATTTATTCCAAAAATCAATAAAGTAACAAGTATTCCCGTTTTAGAGGCTGGATACGTCTTTGGAGTGTCTCTAATAATTTATGTCTGATAACATGATAATTAAATTATCTGCCACAGTTGAGTTAATATCCAAGCCTGGGGGTTAAGGGTTCAACGCCTAATTAGAAAATTTCAATACTATAAAAGGAAACAACAACTCAAATAACAATGACCTAATATAATTTTTTTTGGTGCTAATTAATTAACTTGTTTTTACTATCATTCATTTATAATAAAAAAAAAAATATTAGATGTATACTTTTTTTGAGATGTTTTTAACCTTTAACAATAAATAACATAAACATAATAAACAAAAGTATCAGATTTTTTTTTTTTACTTACTTCCTATATCTTCTTTAAATTATTTATTTGTCCCATAAACCATTTTACTAATTGTTCTACTCGCCAATATGAATTCACCCAGTACTAGATCCTAAAACACTAGAACTACATTGATTATTATTAAACCTACTATCTATTTCTGAACTAAATGTAATATTTTAATACACTGCGTTTCCTTAAAGAAAAATCCACTGCTTATAAAATTCTGCAAATATAGAACAAGGTATATTTTTAATGTGTCATAATCTAAACTTTTATATTTCTAATTATGTTTAATGAAGATAACTTTTAGAGCTTAACTGATTTTTGTATTTGAGATAAACGGTTCCTTTTTTAAAAACACTTTTAAGTGTTTAGTGGTAACTGTATAATTAATAAATTCTGCATCTGCGAATGGGATATATGTACAATATAATATGAATGGATACTACACTACATGTATCTGTACATGGTAACCATATTATGCCTATTGTGAAAGAACTGACAATTTAAAAAATGATCAAATTTGGGTTAAGATTAGTTTTAACATAAAAAGTGCGGGAGTTTGTAGATCTCAAGAGGGAAAGGTTTATTGAAGAAGTTAATTTACGTTTTTTTTTCTGTAAGCAGTTTCGTTCATTTTTAATATATTATTAGAATTTTTGCTTATATTTTAAGAAAAAAAAGTTAATTATGTAATATAAATTGCTCATCAACCTAAACAGTAGAATTCTTCTCATATTCCACTGTATTTATTTTAAATTTGCAGTATGTATCATAAAGTATCTTTGATATTTCATTTCAAAGTATTAATTAGCAATTACTCTCTCCTGCCGCCCTCCACTATACTTCATATTCATTATCAATACTTTATACAACATTCCCAAAACAACTACCTCCTTGAACAAGTAACAGAAAATTTTTATTCTTCTCTTAAACATATTAAAAAGTCAACTTAATTTCCTGAAGTATTAAAACAGGTTTTAAAAATTTTCTTTAAAACTACTTCAAGATTACTTGTATTTACAACACAGTTATGTCAAAACAAATATTAACATGTTGGCTGTTAAGTAGTGCTTCTAAAGAGACTATACAGTACAGATTTTCTACCATTTAGTCAGTATTCTTGGTCAAGCAAAATATCATTGCCAACTCTTAACGTTAATTAATGAAATAAATAGCAGTCATATATGAATTAGAATTTCCATCCATTAGAATACAACTCAGATAGGACTATAATCAACCCTCAAGACAATCTAAAACTTTCAATTTCCTAATGATCCCATACTTTTTTACATCACACACTTAATTCAAAAAACAAATAAAACAATAAATATTCCCTTGGTCCCTAATTGTGTGTAGGAATAATGGTTTACGAACTGGCTGACACGGGTGCCAAAGAAGTAGGCAACACCTAATCTAATATCATGGTGCTGTACAATTTCAATACAGTAATATTGGGCCAAAGTCTGATGTTATTTTTGGTCCAAGATTCCAAACACTGACAAAATGAAAAATGTTTATAAACGTTTGACCTATGCCATAGACATTGGCAAACTGCTAACCTATCAAGCAATTATAACAAGCCACAGGATAGGACACATGAGGCAGACCCATTGGCATCTCCGTGAGGGGAATTTTCCACCAAGATGTTACAGCTGCAGCTGTACCTTAACAACAAAATACATTCCAGAAGAGTAGTTCAAGGATTCATTGAGAACCTCTAACATGATAAAGTCAAGCCTTATTATCTGAAAATTGAAAGCATTAATTCCAATTCTTGTAGCACAAAAATCTATATGGAGACATATAAAATACTTTAGGTACATCCAAATAAAGTGTCTCTGGCCTACGGACGACACCTTAAAGTGTTATAAAATAATAATTAAGTACTACAACCAAGATCACTTATGAGAATCAAGTAAGTGAGTATGATAACTTTATTAAGAGAACCAGGGGCTTAGAGAGTTGCTCTAATTCTAAATGATTATTAAAATAAATCCAGCTAGCTTGTAACAACAGGACCAGACCATTGTTATCAAGAAGTTAAGGTCTTGTTCAATTCACAAACTTTCCAATAAATCATATGAATTATATACAATAGTGATACTGTTCGATAATATTTCTATCGATATAAGTATTATTACTATAAAAGAAATTAAATAGTATTTTCTAGTTTTTCTAAATCAAGAATTTCTAGAACTATGTGATAAAGATTTTATTGTATAGTTATATACTGATGGCAGTCTATACTAATGGACAACCACTGTTGTTTTAAAATGAAGAGTATATATCAACTAGCACAAATATAACATGAATTATATATTTTTAAAAAATATATTATCAGATGATTTAGTATTTAAATTAACTTGCATTAAGGGATATATACGTATGTCAGTTTCCTAAAATAATGTTAGGATTTCTCTCATGTTAATTGACAATTAAGAAAATATCAACAGTTCATATTTGACTTGTTGAATACCAAGTATTGTCACAGCTACTTGTACAATTTATTAAGGTTAGCAAAAGTTATCCATATTCTAGTGGAACACAATTCCCCACTAATATAATTAGGTTTAATGACAAAATGTCTGAAAAACATGTTCGGTGGTACGTATTAGCAATAAACTTGTTAGTAAAAGATAATATTACACCTAAACATTGACAAAATTCTCATCAATTCTGAGGGCTCCAAAGAAGAACTTCTCAACTACCATCCATAACAAGACAGAAGTAAGAGAGCAGATTAAGGAAGAAGTGTGACATTTAGCCTCTTTATGCATTCTCTGGTAAGATGCCGAGAGAATTGCGTTCGTCGAGGCTTGCGGAAGGTCAGACATTGCTTATCCGCAGCATACTTGAGGATGGGCGACGTTCTGCTGTAACCTAAAACAAAGAAATAAAATAATAACATTTGGAAAGTTTAGATTAATCATGATGTCTTGGAATAACTGGTTATACATAATAAAGTATTTAAGAGAAATGTCAAGAGAATCTCTGAAATATCGAGATTTCGTAAGAAATAAATGCAAGAATATAAAAAGCTAATCTTTCTAATATTCTGATATTTACTGGACCAATTAACATATCAATTCCTAATAGTTTTATAAGCTAAATACTTCCTGATTGCCTTCTTGAAGCAAATCTTCTGATCATGAAAGAGAGCAATACTTTGAAAATCATATTTTCCATAGACTTATTAGTGAGATGAGAAATAATTAAAGGGAACAAATGTCTAGAATAAATTTGAGTAGTGCAAATTTATTAAATGACTTCAGTGTTATATGCTCACTTGATGAAAATCACTTTATATTATTTTAAAAAGATAAGGTATGTTCTTATATGTGACAGGAAAAAAATGAAAACTAGGTAATGACTCAGTTAATATAAATTGGTATTGGTAGATCTTAATTTGGGACAATGAGGAAACAAGAATTACCCTGAAGACAGAATAGACAGTGTCCAACAACAATTCCATCCATTTATAGAGAAGTTATCCAGTTGCCATATATTATTTATTGGAGTTCACAGGAATGAAAAATAATTCCAAAAGGGATCCATCAAATTTTTAATTAGATCTTTTTAAAATTTTATGAAGCTCCAAAGCAGCAATTTAATTTATTTTTATATTTTACAGTATGGCATAAAGTAAAAAAACAAACAAAAAAAAAAAAAAAACAACAACAAACAAATGATAATAACTTAGTAGGTCTTAGAGAGGATGGGATGGCCGAGCACATTGGGGCTAGGGTCTCAGAGTGCCCAGTTCTGAACGTTGTGGGTTCGATTCCCACCTGGGTCGGTCACTTTTCATTTCTGGGCTGCTCTGGGAAATGGATCATGACAATTCCCAATCCGGCAAGTACGCGGCGGCAACCTTAAAGGTAGCCGTCAGAGGTTGGCAAAAAGGATCACTATAGGCCCACTTGCAGGACTAGTTGTATAGTGGTATGCTATATAAATAATTCTGGCCTAATCACCTCCCTGCACAACCTTGTCCTTGAAACAGTACTTCCTTACGAAATACTGAACTCAAGAACCTTCAAGAGTTTTAGTGATACAAGGTCTATTTTTTTATTTATGTTTTTAATAATTGTAGAAAAGAGAGTGAAAACTTCCAATGATGAGAGTGCATAAGTTATTGTCCAGGTAACATTAGTGGAGATTGACAATTTTGAAGTAAATGAGAGAATCATAGCAGCTAGCTACTACTCCATAAACTTAAAGTCCACTAGAAAGAAGAAAGAGAAAAACAAATTGTAAGGATTTAAAATCAATTAATATAACTAGTCTCTTCTTCAGTTCTGGGTTTTGGGTCTAAACAAAATACATTACCTGTGGCCAGTTTAGAGGGACTGATTGAGGACTACCAAGATTCCTCCATGCCAAGGCATAATATAATCATTACGCTATAAAGTTACCCCATCACAGCTGGAACTGATGATATATTCCAGAGAAAAATGATGGAGTGAGTGAGAGTTAATGTTATTCAAGGAATGAAGTTTGTGGTTAGAAGGCATTGATGCTATTGTGTGAGGAAAGTCGTACTGGAGAGCATACAGGAATTTTAAAGCCCCAAGAAAAGAGTGCTTTAAGAATGTAACAGGAATGAATCACAAGACACAATATTAGTGTGATACAAATGTATTTAAAGAGAAAGTCAATACAAGACTATAAGGATATTTTGAACCTTTCCTTTGAGATAAATAATCTTAATAGGTTAGTGAGGAAAGAAAAAAAATTCTGAGGTAAAACAGATGCAGTTTCAGATTAGTATATTAGAAAGATGTAATGACTATAAGTATAATAAGCATAAAAATAAACCACTAATATTTCAAGTCATCATGAGAAAAATTAAAAAATAATTTTAGAAATGTGTAAGTAGTTGACTATTGAATTTTAAGGATGAAACAAAATTGTCAGGAAATTCAGACAACAATAAGCTGGCTGAGTTTCGATTCAAACATGTGTCCCATTATCAGGCTATGGTTTGAAAGTGGAGACATGAAGTAAGCTGGTTCTTCTAAACCATATCACTCATCTTTTTTCTGGGAAATTGTATGATATTCTTTGTTATTTGGCAATGATTACTTCCAATTAACAACAATTGAATATATTTGTTCTATTATCAAAATTGCATGTTTACAAGTTTACGTTTCGGGATATTTACTCCCATCTTCAGAATCACAATCCCAATGATCTTGTGGATACATGGCTTAAAACTAATGTCCTCCATCGTCAGTTGCTAATTCATATTATAATAAATTTAGGTATATAACATCTTGCTTTTAGACTCATTTGCTCTAGATGTTATATACCTAGATTTATGATAATATGAATTAGAAACTGACGATGGAGGACATTAGTTTTAAGCCGTGTATCCACAAGATCATTGGGATTGTGGTTCTGAAGATGGGAGTAAATATCCCGAAATGTAAACTTGCAATCATGCAATTTTGATATTACAACAAATATATTCAATTGTTGTTAATTGGAAGTAATCATTACCAAATAACAAAGAATATCCCTCATGTTGACACACATGCTCGAGTCTAAGCGAAGACTTCTTAAAGAAATTTTGACTGAATTTACTGATACTTTTGTTTAATCCTTAATAAAAAAATGATGATTTTAAATTATCATTAAATTTTTTTTTTTTTTTTTTTGTTGGTCCTCCCCTGACTCGCCTTTAAGACTATACGTGGTTTTCCCAGGCCGGAGGGTGTGGGCGGGGATTTAAAAGACTCCCTCTGCACCGGGACGCGAACTAGTGACTATTTTTAATTCCATTGTCTCATAGATGAAATGAAAATGGAAATGAAATGAAAATGAAAATAGATATTTAATATCCTGGGACTTTTGTCCCTTTAGGATAAATTATAGATACAGAGGAAATGCCTGTGTGGCCATAAAATTAAATTAAATATTTACAATGCTCATTAAAATAAAACAAAAACACTAAATGCATACAGATATATATATATAATACAAACATGTGAAAATAAAAATAATATAATTAAACAAAACCATTTCTGGGGGAACTTAAAAAGTTCTCTTATCTACTTTTCATGATCAATCGGGTTGGGAAAGAAGTAGGTGCTTAAAAAGGAGAGATTTAAATGAGGAAACTGATTGCGCATGTCGGATATCGGGAGGGATGGTATTCCAGATGGAGACGGCTTGAATTATAAAGGATTTGTCAAACGCAGCAGTTCGGTGAGGAGGTGGATGGAGGTGAGAAGTACGGGATCTAGTGGGACGGGATTGAATGGAATATTTAAATTGTTGGCTGTGAAAAATAGATGAAGGTCGCTGAGTTCTGATGGCTTGGTATAGAAATGTAGCAAGGAAGTACAGACGGCGGTTGGATGGATAGATCCACTTCAACTTGGTGTAATACTGGGTTATATGCGTATCTCTTGAGATTCCGAAAACAAAACGTATTGCGCAGTTCATCAGGCGTTCAAGTTTGGCCTCAAATTCTCCCGAGAGTCCGCCATACATCAGACAGCCATAGTTGAAATGGGGGAACACTAGGGAGGAAACCAGGAGTTGTCGAGATTTATATGGAAGGAGATAGTGGAGACGGTTAAACTGTTTCAGGGCAGAGATAGTACTACGGTCAGGTTGCCGGGATTTATCATTAAATTGACAATAATACTAGTAACACTCGTGATGTTTCCCAAAATTGCTTTTCCTAATTTAAATTAATGTAGAACAGATTTGGAGGGTTTGAACCCAACTTTCGAATATAACAGAGACTGACCTGAGCGAGGACGCTGTTGAAGCTGGGCCTGCGCTCCCTGGAGCCGGTGAAGGCGCCCGGGGGCAGGAGGTCGGAGAGGTGGCTCGGCCTGCGGGCCCTGTTGAGGGCGGCACAGGACGGCCGCCGGTCCGAGTTCACCGACAACGGCTGCATGCTCCTCGTCAGCCCGGGGCTCGGCTCGCGTCTCACCAGCGACTGCAGGTCCACCGCGCTCTTCGTCTTCCTGGATTGGAGGGAAGGCTATTATATTTAGGATAGCTAAGAACAATCACTTGAATCTGCTAATACCAACTAACAATACAACCTATATACAACACACAATACAATGCTAATAACAATACAATACAATACAATGCTAATAACAACCTTGAGATAGTTTTACAGATATTCTTCGGTATTCTGTAAAATAGTAGGGTTTTTTTTTTTTTTGTAGCAAGATATAAAACAAACATAATTACACTGATGGATTGCTCTCCATAACATATGCAATAATTGGTCTCTATAGATTTCAAGACGTAGATTAGGGTATCTAATAATTTAAATAAAAGTATATTTAAATTCTATCAAGGATATGTTAGCTATTCTGCTAATCCAATGCCTCTTTCGACAATATCAATGATCGATAGACTATTGATGGACAGTTTAACATTACTTCCGATAAAAACCTTTAGAGCTGTTGCATACCAATGATAACTCAACTGAGCTGGCTCGTCTTTGTAATTGATCTCTTAAATGTTTTGGATACTTGTAGGCGCTGTAACTACTCGGGATCATAAATGCGACTAACAATAAATAATTATTAGATTACTTCTGTATTTTTTACAAAAAGGACATTAGACCACCAAAGGTTTTCTTTAGTCTGTATTATTGACGACAATTGGGTGCACAAATGTAAGTTACATCAAATGTTTTGAGGGTGGTATATTCTTAAGGAATTTTGAATGTTTTTTTCTGGGGGGGGGAAGGCAGAAGGGAGAAAGGAATATTTTGGAAGAAACCATGTCTTTGTTGGATTTGTCTTTAAGATGAAAACAATAAAATTTCTTGGAAGGAGAGCATGCGCCATCGACCTTAAAGACAGGGGTACCCATCTCTCCCAAGGTCGATGGCGCAAGAGCCCTACCCTCTCCCCTCCTCCCAAGATATTTTATTGCTCACTTTTCTTAAAAACGGAATAAGCTAAGGTAGAATTAGAAAAATCGCAGATCATATACAATTACACTTGCTGCGGTATGTTTCATGTTTTCCCCCTGCTTTTCAGTTCGAAAATTCATAACTGCGTCGAAATTTGCCCCCCTCAAAAATTCCAAATCCCGTCAAAATATGCCTTCCTAAAAAATTTGTAAGGCGTAACTTGCACTATGAAACCTCCTTCTCGGCACCTCTGCATAAGGGAAGGGAGAGATGGGCACCCCAGCGATGACGTTTTAGCTAAAAAATTTGAAATTTTAGTAAAGCGGAAGAATTCTTTGACAATGCTTTATGCAGTATTTTTCTTCATTTAAAATAATAATAAAAATAATAAATAATAAAATAAAATAGAACAAACAAAACAAAGAAAGAGTTTCTTTATTCAAACCTAAAACTACTATCTTAGGCTCCACTTAAGTTTTGATAAGATGATGAATTGTTTAATTATCAAACAAAAATTAAAGAAAATGAAAAATATGCCAATGAATTCTTCTAATTTAACTAAATAAGACTTGAAAATACTTGTTTTTAGTTGAAACGTCGTCAAATTTATAAAATAAAGAATAAAAGTTGGTGATTTAATGTCCTATTGTTAAAAACATAATTTAAGACATCAAAGGTGAGAATAGAATAATAACTTGTTTACATTTTTATTTCCAGTTATATGAAGTAATTCCTTAATGCTCAAAGGTACTTGGGTGGAGAACATTTTTAATGCCATTTGACTTAATGTTGGAGAGAAATACACTACGGCTGATACACGATTGTGTTTGAGCAACTTAAGGCAATTGCGGATCTCAATAACTATTGAGAAAAAAAACAAAAAAAAAAAACAGGGCTGCTTAGAATATACCAACTAGTAACTTGAATAGTTGGTATATTCTTGAATAGTTATAAATAAATTACCATTGATTGGGTATAGAAAAATTGAAGGTTTACACATTTGTGTGAAATCGATCGGTTTAGATGTACGAGTGGAATTAATTACCTCCTCTGTAGACTATAGATTTTAAATAGTTCTAGATATGAAATAATTGGATAATCAATTTATTATTCGAGAATTTCTTCCATAGATAAATTTAGTGATCATACTGATGGTTTTTCCTCCACATACAAATAAAAATCTGGTGCGACACACAAGCTTCACTTACCTCTCTACTTTGAATAGAAATTATTTTCTGACAGTGTTTGGCTATTATAAAATTTTTGAAATACTATGAAATAGTTTTTTAATCAATGTCATTGCCTTGATTAAGTGGATTTTAAATACTTTTTTTTCAAACTAAAACTTATCATTTATTTAGTCAATGTCATTAACTAGTGTTCGCCCAGTGGTCGACCATAGCCACTATTATTAATTATTATTTAATTATTATTAATTATTAATTAATTATTATTAATTATTATAAAATTTGAAGAAAATATAATTAAATTAAAAATAAATTCAATAAATAAAGAGTAAATCAATGAATTAATGTTATGATTAAGTAAGTAAACAAAAAAAAAATTAAATTATTAATTTCAACTGAGTTTAAATCCATTTTTATGCAGACATTCTCTGAAAACAATGTTCTGTTATTGTTTAGTACATAGCCTTGACCTATGTATTCAATTGCCATTGAAAATATAAATTGCAAAATTTTAATTTTAATTTTAACGTGATCTATTTGCTGTTACATATAATTGTCCATGCGAAATTACTGGACGTCGCAATAATACACAATTTTGACCCTGCGATTTGATTATGGTTATAGCAAATGTAGCTATTAATAAGAACGTTGTTCTTTGAAATTCTAATGGAAGTATTGTACCATAAAATATTAAATTAATTGAAAAGCCTGATGATAATGAAACGTATACAAGAAACTTCTAAATATTATTGCGAGATTTTGTCAAAATTTAAAAGAAATCGGTGAAGAACTTTCGGAGATTAGCCGTTTTGTCCAAACTACCATTTATATTTTTATTCACATATTGTTTCATATTTTTATTTATTGATAACACTAAAGCTCGTCAATAGCTATTAAATAAAAAAAGAAGGAAGAAAATCGGTTGAATAATAGAGGAGTAAAAGGGGCTGAACCGTTTTGTGTTTGCCTATTTATGTAATGATTCCCTTCAAAACATGTGATTTTCGTTAAATAATATTAGTTTTCACAAATTATTATTTATAATTTTTCGTCGCTCTCCATTACTTTATACGAGTTTCTATATTAGAGATTGTTTTTTTCTAAAATGCTCCGCTTTTAAACAATGTATTATACGTATACCTTCTGACTAGTATTTTCGGAAATTCATTTTCGACCTAAATAAATATTTTCCATTTTTCAATTATCAAATTCTTTCAAAAGTTATATTTAGCATTTCTTTGTACTCAATAATGAGAGATAGTTAATTATTTAAAATAAACCAACTTAAACGTACTTTAGAGGAAGACATTTTGAACATTTAATCATTTAAGCTATGTAAAGTGACGTCAATGGAGATAAGATCTCAAATATTAAAGACCACTTCATTATACAATGATACACCGAATTTAATCAAAATCGTAGGAGCCATTTTTGAGTAAATTGTAAAAATGTGTATAACCGTTAATATAAAGTGTCACTTGCGGTAAGTCGATTTTAACGAAAAAGTTGCCGTCACATCCAAGGCATATATCTATCTTAAATACGTAATATCAGGTTCTTACGACTTTTAGTTTTTTAGCTAGACTGATCACATACATACATGCACACACGCCATTTTGAGGGATTTTGTTATTTGGACTCAGGGGACCTCAAAACGTGTATTTCCGTTGAAAACTCAGATTCGTAAATGTTCATGATCGCAATACTTTTTCTTAGTATATATTACATATATAGGTAAGTGGAAGTAAACAAGAAAATAAACTACGGTGTGTGGTTTAGACCACACGATAGAAGTCAAAACATCAAGGCGAGTTAATACTATGAAATACAATTTTGTGTGTCCTATATTAACAAAGTAATAACATTTACAGTACATACAATTATAATTGTAAATAAATTACTCTAGTAAACTTTGCTCTGCCTCTTACTCATTTTTATCAAACTCTAAAAATTATACAATAGGTTCATAATATCTAAAATATGTCATGAATACTTTTGATTGAAATCTATTTACTAAATATCTAACAAAATGTCAATCATATTTTAAAATATAACTTCTGTAACGGGAGTCAGTAATTTGTCAAAACTCTATCGAATGAGTGCAATAGAAAATCGAATAGAAAAACTTATTATTTTTGTGACTAATTAAAACAAAATATCTGCATTGACTTCCGCAAACCAGTTTCTGAATTCTGTATGGTATTTAAATATTGAGATATTTTAGTCCAATTGTTCAAAACAGTCGTTATCATCTTTTTTTTTTTTTGCGCTATCTTTTTTCTTTCCTATCTCAACTCGGCGTCACGCCAAAACAAAACTCTTGATTTATAGATATCATATAAGTTTATGACCCTCATTACAAAGAGAATGAAATGCTGAAAATATCCCTCAGTTACAGTATGCAAGCTCGATTTTTAGTTTCTGAGATATTTTAATCCACATGTTTAACAAAACTCGTTTTCAACGCTATCTTTTTACCTTTTCAACCATCTAACTCGGCCTCACGTCAAAGTAAAATTTTGAATTAAATTTCATCACGAAGAAGATAACATGCTGAAAATTATTCTTGCTTACATCATGTAGGTCTAAATTTTAGTTTTTGAGATATTTTAATCCAATTCAAGTGCAGAGTTCGCCTAAAGAAAATACCACTTAAAAAAAACTTTTTATTTTTATAAATACCCTGCCTTGAGGGAATTGGAATCGGATGTCAGGATTGACTATCGAAGGTTTCAGAGTTCAATACATATTTAGATTCAGTTCTAGCTATTCAAATATGTTTAGTAATTATCACACAAAAACGATACAATTTAACCAACATATAACAAAAATAATTAATTTCAGTATGTTATAATGATAGAAAGAAAAAGTGCGACATGAAAACATATATACCGTAAACCGTATTCAAAAGTTTACGGTTAAAGTATTGAGAATTGTTTAAAATGCTAAAATCAGATAAAAAATGTTTATATATCTATTACTTCTCAATCAATGATATTCAAGATTTAGTAATTCCATGATTAAATATATTTATAAATTGTCTGTCAAAGTAAAGAAGACGAATGGTCCTGTCGGAAGGCCTCTGCACGACCATACCTCACTTCATTCCTCCACGCCACCTGAGCTTCCTCCCTCTAAATGATCCAAACCAAGGAAATATTTATGTTATAAATTATCATTTCCCACCAGTAGATGTACTCTCCAGTCCGATAGCATTTATTTTGATACTGGTACAATATCATATAATTAGAGAAATATGATTTGCTTAATTAGCAAAAATGTATGTTACTTTTATGACTTGTAAATAACAGAGCATCCTCACTAAACATTCATCCGAAACTCTTCATGTGTTATGGTAATATTTTTTTCAAATTCATTTTGAACATTTCCGATAACATGATAATCGACCTCATTTAAAGAATAAATCTGGAAATATAAACAAAGATTTCGTTGGTTTATTATAAAAAGTCATTAACTGTCATTTCATAATCTTAAATCACTTTGATGACTTAAAGAACTTTGATGAGTATCTCCTTTGTGAAATCAGAATGATGTACACTTTTTTAAAAACAATAATTCATACTTAAAAGGGTTTGTGTTATTTTAGTGCACTAACTTTTTTTTTTCTAGATAAATAAGGTCACTAAAATCTTCTTAAAAATTTAGCTCCATCAGAAATGTACTCAGTGATGTTTTGCAATAACCCGACGATATAGGGTGCTTTTAATCGCTGGATATAAGACCCCAGAGAGCGCCCCTCGATTCGACTGAGCCGATTCAGTGAGAGGTTGACTCTGTTAGCCAAGATGGCAGGATGGGCGACCTTATCCTGCACGAAGTTCCGGGGTTCCGGAAATTCACCGAACGAGGATAGCAGATAAATCCAATATATGGAAATTCACAATCCGAGAACACACCATTGACGAATGGAATCGACGAAGGTCAACAATCCTGAAAGGAGCCAGCGAAAGTTTTTTATAAACGTGCATTAACGTTTCGCAGCGAAAATTTAATCGTAAATAATAAGAAAACAGATGCATAGAGTGGAATAGAAAATAGGAGATTCTCGTTACACACAGAACGAAAAATCGAACAATCGTTGTACAAAAAGCGACAGGAAAGATATTTGAAAAGTCAAAAGTAATACTTGAATAATGAGAAAAAAGTACTGTTACTTCGAACATAATATAGCTGATATCTGATTGTTTCCGGAACAAGAATTGGAATAGGAGGTTTTAAAATGTGAATAAATAGGAGGCATGCATAATTTTAATAGAGAGGGAATTACAGAAAGTAGCAAAGCGGGCAACGAAGCAGTTTAGGAATTAATAAACCTGTGGAAAGGGGTGTAGAGGTCAGGAGATCGAGATTTTGTGGTCGGGGACGGGGTGATCTTGTAAACCACGGGTTGTACGACAACCTGATAAACCAAAGGTTACGATTTCTAATTTCACAGACGGAAGGACTCTGGTATTAATCCGACGCCCTCTCACATGGCACGAGAAAACCCAATGTAGCCGAAAAGGCGAGGAAGGAGAGAAAAAAAAACAAAAGAAAAAATAAGAGATCTTGTGTTAAAGGAATGGACAACCGACTTGAACTGGAATTATCACATAGCAAGGACGATTATTGTTGGTAATTTGATAAAAGAATGTGCCTTGCAAATTGTCTTCAAAATGAGGAAAAGGTTTATTTGGGGAAAATTTGAGATTCAGCTCAAGTTTGATAAAAATGAATGATATTTTTATTCTGTCAAGTAAAAGTATTCCTGTTTTCAGCTAAAATTACTTCAATTAATAGTTTTAAAACTTTTATTTTCTGTTTTCCCATGCTCTGGAATGTAATGTAATAAACCCAATTGCCTAAACACACTTTTATTCATATATATATATATATATATATATATATATATATATATATATATATATATATATATATATATATATTGATTTTTACCCAGATCTCTCTTTTAGGATTTGATCTGCATTTGTGAGTGACAAAATAAAAGTTTTTAATCTTAAAATTTATATAAAATTGTTTAATACAATCGGATATATAATATAAATAATAAGACAGATAATGGTTTACAATTAAAAAAAAAGTGATTGATGATGCATGAAATGGACAAATGAAATATGTAATAAGCTTTATGTTTTTAAGAATAATGTTTTTAGTCCTGATGATGACCCACATGTTTGGATTGAAACGTCGGCACCAATAAAAACTTTCAAATGACTGCGATCTGAATAATTATCACCCATGATATGTAGCACAGTTGACTAACTTGCTTCAATAAAAAATCTCTGATAATTGCTTCAATTATTTTAATTAAAACGTTAATATTAAGATCAGGAACATTTAGGGCCAGTTGAACAATCGGAGTTCAAGCTTTAACTACAGTCAATCACTTGACTTGAACTCCAATTGTACTACTGGCCCTTGGTTTGTCACTTATAACTATGGATCAATTCCTAAAACAGAGATCTGGGTGGAAAACACAGTTTATAACCGATTTAAGGAGAACAATATTGGAAAAACAGTATTTTTCAAATTAATTTTTTTTTAATAAATAAAATGTGTGTTTAGGCAATTGGGTTTATTACTATACACCCCAGATCATGGAAAAACAAGAAATAAAAGCTTTGCAACAATTAATTGTAATTTTTGCTGAAAACAGGGGTACTTTTATTTGACAGAATAAAAAATATTAAAATTTTTTTTTGTTTTTACAAAGCTTGAGCTGAATCTCAAATTTTCTCTAATAAACCTCTACTTAATCAATACTAAATTAAAGCATATTAAACGAAAAAGTTTTTGTAAAAGTGAGGTAACTTTAGTATAGTTGGATGATGATAAAAAAAAAATGGTGAATAATTTATGATTTTTCTAAAAACAGAACAGAGCCCCTCAAAACTATGTAAATAGTTTTAACAATGATAAGCTCTATGTTCGTTCAAAGTAAATTTCATCTTGTTTGCAATGAAGCAATTAATAATTAAGAATTAGTTATCGCTTTCGATTAAAAAAAAATCACGACTCACTTAAAAAACCACAAAACTCGGATTTGCTACTTTTCTGCTGAAAATTGGCCCATTGTTTATATGAACTTTTTTGGAGTTCTTGAAGGCTGCTATCACCCTTATAAAAATTTTCTTCTACTTACGGGACACCCTGTATAGAGTAAATTGATTAAAAAAATTCCAATTCATTCGGTGACTAATGGATAACACTTCTGTAGTAGACATTCCCCGGTATTTACTCCTTTATATGAAATTGTGTGAGGAAATGAGAAGAAATATATAGGAATTTGAGGTTGCACTGTGAATTGTACTCAATTGTGCAGTGGACAAATTGAAAAGTCTCATATCGACAAACAGTCGATGAAGAAGGAAAAAGGTCCGGTCAGGCAACAGCAGCTGGAGAAGGACGCTGGAGAGAAGAGAAGGAACTCTAGGCTTGGACAGGAAGAAAGGAGGTTGTCAGAAGAGAGGGGCACTACACTGAAGACTAAGAATATGAAGCTTACAGTTATAAGACTTTTATACATTCATTATTACAGTTGTCAAAGTAAATTGTTTTATTATACAGGAGTGAAAAGTCATTTTTTTTAGTTTTCCTATATGCCTCACAATTAAAAATAACAAACCAGATTAGTCAAAGTGTATTTACTCAGTACCACATTTCATGTATATATTCTTATTGTTTCTTCTCACTCAGTGTCACAAAAGGTATTAGATTCCCGAATTCTCAACGACTGTTAAACACCCTCAAAGAAGTCTATATCCAGTGCCGGAGTTTTGTTTTAATATTCATGAGTGTAAATAACCTAGTACCCCGATAAATGGAAGGAATGTTTACAATTTCCGCCAAAAAACGGGGCAATTACAATTAACCTTTAACAAATTATTTACACTTCTGTCGTTAATCAGAAATCATGGATTGATACACTGTGAGACAAGGGTAAGCAAAGCTCTTCCACTGATTGGGATTCGGCCATCAACTTTGAGAGTGGGATTGAATGCATTAGGACGAGGCAGGGCAGAAGTGGCTCTCACAGAAAACGGACCTCTCAGTAATGACGGGCCGGGTCTGTTTTTCTTCGAGCATTGCACAACTCCATTAAGGCTTGTTTTATCGAGATGCTTCTAAATAGCCTTCTCTACCGAGATTGTTTAAAAGCATTGGGGAACATCTCGCCAACTTTATCGACCAATATATTTATAAAATAATTCGTTTTTTTTTTATATTACTGCGAACAATAACATATAAATGATAATATAATTCTTTTTTTTGGAATCAAAATAAAATAACAGTTATTCCGTTTTTTTTTCGTGTGGGATTTAATTTTTATTCTAGCCTATATGTCGATATATCGGCTACACCTCCTGTATAGACACCTCCTGATTTAATACTTAAACCAAATAACACGATAAAATAATTACGATTTCATGTCACGGTGCCGAGGGACTTGAATACCATATTCTCGGTTTTCCTTGGCCGAGGAATAAATCCTTATTGACGAAAAGGCGAGGGAAGGGAGAACAAATAAATATATATTTAATACCCAAATAACTGTCCTCTCTTTTCTGTGCTCGGCAGTTTCAGGAAGGCTGCAATTGGAACATAGGGGGTCAATATCCTTGTCAAAACTGCGCGGTTTGGTCCGAAACCCCCACAAGCCCACGAGGACTGGCGAAATCCACTAGTCCCGGATTTTCCAATTTGATGTATGCACATGTTATACAACATCAACACAGAGGTGCCCATCCCCCCCAAGGTCGATGGGGAAGAACCTACCCTCCCTCTCTTTCCACTACCAAAATATTTTATAGCTCTTATTTTCTTAAAAACAGAGCAAGCGAAGGTAGAATTAGAGAAATCGTAGATCTTACTCAACTACACTTGCTGCTGCCTGTTCCATGTATTCACCTTGTTCCTAAGTATTGAACTTTTCATTCCTTAAATTCATAACTCTGCCAAAATTTGCCTTCCTCAAAATTTCAAAAACATGTCAAAATGAAACCTCCTTCTGGGCACTCCTGCATCTACATATACACACTGTCTACATTCGATTAATGCTCCTGTAGATGGATGAACATCTTTCCCTTCTTCTTCTATTTTTAATTAATTATTTTTCCTATACTTTATAAATAATTTGTACTTTATATTTATTAAAGAGAACTACTGGTGCTCAACTGTGTTGAATTGCTAACTGACACAGCATACTAATCTATCTAACAATTCAGCTTGATGCGCTTCGTATATAAAAATGTCGTTTGTTATAATTATAAATATAACTACTAAACCACTTTTTTAAATGACAGATATAACTTTTTTCTTGGTTAACACATTTTGCTCTTATAATAGAGGAATTATTTTTTTTTTAAATTTTGTACTGTTACTAGTTAATTGGGTCGATTTTCAGATATGCGGTTATCAGCGGATCTTAACGTTTCAGAGCACACTGATATTAGAGATAGTATTCTTTCTTTTATTTTTCTGTATATCCACCGATGGTTCACATACCCATTTAGGTCATAAAATAAAACGTAATCTAATCATTTCTGCGACCAGATTTTAAAAAAAATTAATCTAATTCAATTTCTTTCTTTTTTTTAATGAAGATATTTAAATTTGTTTATATTTGTCTAAAATCGGAAGAAAACTGTGTAGGTGGACACACAGAATACTTTTCTTTATGATTATACTGTACATTGTTTTACAATTATTAATTGGTTTTGTACATATTTGTAATTTTTTTGTATATAATTAGCTTACTAACTGTTTTCTGTGTTTTTCATCTTTACTTTCACTTACCTCTATATGAAATATATAGTAAGGGATAGTATTGTGATCGTGAAAATTTTGGAATCTGAGTTTTCAAGGGAAATATATATTTTGAGGTCTCCTGAGTCCAAATGACCAAGTCCCGCAAAATGGTCTGTGTGTGGTTCTAGCTTAAAAACGAAAAGTCCTATGAAAGTGAAATTTCATATTTAAGGTTTGTATATACCGTTTGTACATACAGAGACTTTTTCGTCAAAATTGGCTTACCGGAAGTGGCACAATCATCAAATCATTGATGAAACTCATTTTTACTATTTTCTCGAAAACGGCTTCAACGATTTTCATTAAATTCCTTATATAAGTGTAAAATTAAGCAGTTTTTAATATAATGTAAGTTTTATTCTCATTGATGATCTCTAACAGGGCTTAAATGGCTAATTTTCAATATTGGCTTCCTTTAAAGTACCTTTAATTTTTTTTTTATTTGAAACAGTTAACCGTTTCACATTGATCTGTAATATAAATAATAATAATAATAATAAGGCTTAGCGAACCCGAAGGTTCGATGCCGACACCACCAATCGCTTGTTACACACCTCCCTCCACCGTTCGCCGTTCAAACCCAGTCCCTTCAGATCGGCTTTAATACAATCTTCCCACCTTCGCTTCGGTCTACCCCTCGGACGCTTACCATTCGGCACAGCAAATATTAACCTTTTAGGAATTCTCTCGTTACTAAGCCCAACAACTTTACAAGCCCATTTGATTCGCCGCGATGAAATTACATCAATTATATTACCCGGATACAGCTCACGCAATTCGGCGTTGTGTAACCGTCTGAACTCCCCGGTTAACTCATCCTTCTTCGGTCCGCATATTCTACGCAATACTTTATTTTCAAAAACCTTAAGACGCTGCTCATCCCTTAATGTAAGCGGCCAAGTTTCGCATCCATAAAGAACTGTAGGCAAGATAATTGTTTTATAGATTCTAATTTTTAAGTTCCGGGACAAGAGGCGCGAACTAAGTAGCTTTGTCACAGAAAAATAACAAGCATTTCCCGCCTTCCTTCTAACCTTAATCTCTTCTTCAATTTCGTTTTTTCTAGTTATCGTTGAACCTAGGTACCTAAATTTATCTACCTGTTCAAACCTATTACCATCTATATCGATGTCACCAGTAGTATCGCCATTTTTGCAGCTAACCATATATTTATCCACGTTTATTTCGAGACCTAGTTCTTTACCGGCTTTCATTAACGTTGTCGTATTTAGTTTTATAGTTTCAACGTCTTCGCTTAACAGTACCAGATCGTCAGCATAGCCCAGCACGGATGTTGTCCCGCCCAGATCTAACCCTTTCTCGGTTCGCATTACCTCCCTAATGGCATGTTCTAATGCCAAATTGAACAGGACAGGCGAAAGAGAATCTCCCTGTTTTAAGCCCGAACGAACCTCAAATTTTTCGGACAAATTATTACCGATTCTAACTTTATTGAATGTCTCCGTCAAGCACATCCTGACTAAATTTACTAGTTTTTTTGGAATCCCCTGCTCAATTAGAATATTATACAGTTTCTGGCGGTCAATAGAATCGTAAGCCTTTTTAAAATCTATATACAGCTGGTGAACAATACCGTTATACTCCAATTTTTTCTCTAATATTTGCCGTAAAGAAAATATTTGATCAATAGTCGAACGATTCCGTCTAAATCCGCATTGGTAGTCTCCGATAATTTCCTCGGCGTATTCCGTGATTCGACTGGTTAAGATTGAAGTGAATATTTTATAACATACCGGAAGGAGTGAAATTCCTCGATAATTATTACAATCCGTCCTCGGACCCTTTTTGTGAATCGGAATAAGAATAGATTCATTCCATTCTTCAGGTAATTTCTCGTTCACCCAGATCTTTTTAACCAACCGATGTATTTTAGTAACTCCAGCTTCCCCGCATGCCTTAATTAGTTCAGTAGGAATATTATCGATTCCCGCTGCTTTATATGATTTTAATTTTCCGATAGCTACTTCAACTTCCTCTTTACTTGGTCCTTCTATTAACGGTTCAGCACTCTGGTACTCAGAAGGAGGACACAGATCATAATTTCCCGTATTTAAAATATTGTCAAAGTGGTCCTTAAACTTATTCAATATGTCAACCGGATCGGTCAGAATATTGTTATTAACATCCCTAATTCCAGACGTTACGGGCCCTACATATTTACGTGATCTGTTTATACCTTTGTACATGTCTCTTACGTTATTTTCGATTCTATTAGTTTCTATTTCAAGTATTTTATTTTTAAGATACCCCCTTTTTTTATTTTTGAGCAATTTTGTCGTTTCGTTCTTTGAGATTCGGAAGTATTCCAGATTGTCTTCGCTAGGATTATTTAGAGCTTTTAATTTAGCAGCATTTCTTTTTTCGCACATGTTCAAGCAATCTTCATCAAACCACGGTTTGTTATTCTTAGTTTCCTTTTTTCCTAGGCACGAGCTACCGACCGCTTTTATATTATCCCTGATCTCTACCCATAACTTGTCAATATCCTCGTGGTTCTCGTCAGGAAGCTCTAAAGCTTCAAACCTATTCTTAACATCTAGCTCGAATTGGTTTCTAATTGATGGATTTTTTAATTTTTCCAAATTAAAATTCTCAAAATCGAAACGGTTTTCTTTTCTCTTTTTTATATTAAGTTTTTGTCGAAGTTTCGCGATTACTAATTCATGATCCGACCCACATTCTGCTCCGCGATAAGACCGTACATTGATTATACTGCTTTGCCAGCTGTTTTGTATCAAGACATGATCTATTTGATTTCGTGTTTGCGAATCCGGTGATGTCCAAGTATATTTATGAATATCCTTATGTTTAAACGTCGTACTTTTAATTATCAGGTTTTTCGAGATGGCAAAGTTTATCAGACGGATCCCATTATCATTACTATATTCGTGCAAACTTTCTTTACCAATCGTCGGAATATAAACTTCTTCCCTTCCTACCTTTGCGTTCGCGTCACCTACAATTATTTTCAAGTAATTTCGCGGTAGTTTATCATAAACCCATTCGAGTTTATCGTAAAATTCACTTTTGACTTCATCGTCACTGTCTTCGGTCGGACAATGTATGTTTATTAATGCGATTTTAAACCAACGTCCCTGAAATATAGCTACCGAAATTCTATCACTAAAGAATTGTACGTCGCTCAAAGCGGATAGTAATCTACTCCTAATTAGAAACCCGGTACCTAAACAATGATTCCGTACCC